TCCTTTTCACTCAGAGTCCCCTTTAACATTTCTTATAGGGCTGATTTATTGGTCATGAACTCTTTTAGCTTTTGACTGTCTGAGAAGCTCTTTATCTCTCCTTCTATTCTGAATGATAGCCTTGCTGGATAGACTATTCTTGGCTGCAGATTATTTTTCCTTTCAGCACCTTGTATCTTGCCACTTCCTTCTAGCCTACAAAGTTTCCGCTGAAAAATCCACTGATAGCCTTTTGAAGATTCCCTTGTATGTAATTGTCTTCTTTTCTCTTGCTGTTTCTAAAATTCTCTATCACTTCTTTTTGCCATTTTAACTACTATATGTTGTGGTGTGGACCTCCTTGGGTTGATTTTGTTGGGGTGTCTCTGGCCTCCTGGATTTGGATATCTGTTTCCTTCCCCACATTGGGGAAGTTTTTGGCTACTATTTCTTCAAATAAATTTTCTGCCCCCTCCTCTCTTTCTCCTTCTGGGATCCTTATAATGTGAATGTTATTACACTTGATGGAGTTAGTAAGTTCCCTAAGTACATTCTCATTCTGCAGTTTTTTTTCTCTCACCTGCTCATCTTTATTACTTTCCATTACTCTGTCTTCCAGATTATTAATTCATTCCTCTGCTTTCTCTGCCCTGCTATTTATTACATCAAGTGTATTTTCATTTATTGTCTTCCTCATCTCTGATCGGTTCTTTTTTATCTCTGTGTAAAGGGTCTCACTGATGTCCTCCACTCTTTTCTCAAGTCCAGTGGGTATCTTTACAATCATTACTTTAAATTCTCTCTCAGGCATATTACTTACATCAGTGTTGCTTAGGTCTCTTGTGCTTTGGTCCTGTTCATTCTTTGGGACATATTCCTCTGTCTCCTCATTTTGTCTCACTGTTAGGAAAGTCAGCTACATCTCCTCTTGAAAGTAATGGCCTGATGAAGCAGTCCTATAGTGCCCTGCAGTGCAGTGTCCCCCATGTACCAAAACCTACAAGAAGGGGGGTGTCTCCTGTGTGTATTGCATGTGCCCTGCTGTTGTGTTCTGGGTGCTTTTTCCTTCAGTCCAGGAGTCTGCAGAGGCTCTCTTTGCTTGTTGTGGCCAACGTTTTGTCCCCAGCTGGGATGGGACACACAGTTTTAACAAAGTTTGCACCAGTCTGCTTACAAAATGAGACCTGCTGAGGCCAGGACCAGGGCTGGACTGGGAAGATCCGCAGAGCACACCTGGGCAGGGCACACAATTTTAATAAAGTGTGCCTTGAGCTTCTGCAAGGCCCACCACCACTGCTGCCAGGACTGAGAACCCACCAAACACAGGGCGTGGTGTAAGCAAGTGAAGTAGTGAATGTTGGCACTGCACTGTTGCCCGCAGATGGCCATGACTTTATGCTGGGGCATCAGGTGGTGCTTGCCAGCTCCTTCGTTACTGGAGAAGTCCCACAGCAAACCTGCCCTTGTGGGACATGCTGTGAGATTAGTAAATAACTCTCCCTTATATCCCAGGCATTTTTCAAACTGTTCTTTATGTTTCTCCACAGGCTTTTTGTCATGCTGTCTCATTAAGAGCAGGGACTCAGCTTCCTGTCACCCTCTGGGGTCTCCCAGAATCAAGAGCACTGATTTTTAAAATTCCAGGCTTTAAGTCCTTCTGGTTTTAAGAACTCACTAAATTCAGCCTCTCTCACTTTCAAAGCCGAATGTTATAGGGATTGTCTTCTCTGTGCGGGCTCTCTGGTGTGGTAGTCTGTTTGCCTCCCTTCCCCATACCCATGGGTCCCTCTCTCCAGCGAACCTCATGCAGGTCTGTTTAACACCCCCCCGCCGCAGTGTCTCTACCCCTCCTGCCTTCTTCAGTGTGGCCTCTTCTCTACATTTAGCAGTGGAGTCTGTTCCGCCAATCTTTGGGTTGTTTTCTTGGTTATATACACTGATGTGGGTGTTAGCTAGTTGTGTCTGTGGGACAAGGTGAGGCTGGGATACTCCTCCTCTGCCATCTTCCCTGGAAGTCAGGGGTGAGTATATTTGTCCAAGGTCAGACAAGTAGGAAGTGGCAGAGAAGAGACTTGGACGGAGATGGACCCCGGAGCCCCTTGCTCCCCACAGTGTAAGCCATGGACCTGCAGCTTTGCAGCACGTGGATCTTGTTAGAAATGTTGACCCTTAGGCTCTGTTGCAGACTGCCTAAATCAGAACCTGTATCTTCACGAGACCCCCAGGTGATTCTTGGCATGTCACCGTGTGAGGAGGGCTGCTCTTAGTCGCTCTGCTGATGGAGACTTCCTAACCAGGGCGGGGGGTTTCTCTGTTAGGCAGGTGCCCTAGAACTTCAGGTCTGTGAGTCATTTGATGGCACCTTGGAGTCAAACAGAACCTGTCTTCCTAGGAGAAAGGGCCCTTTTTTGTTTTTTGCCTTTAATGGGTCTTTCAGTCAGTGCATTATGACATGTGGGAGGGAGAAATGGGAGTTTTCAAGCTGTTCTTCCAATAATAAGCTTCTAATTTTTCATGTTCATGATGTAAGTCAAGCACAAGCTGGGCTCTGTGAGCATTTCCTCTTCTGCATAGCAGTAAAGGTAATATAAGCAACAAAACTGTAGGGCACTTTCCCACTAAAGGAAACCAAAGAATTGATAGTGTGTGTAAAGAACTGAGGAAGCATTTTAAAAAAGAATCTGCTCCTTTTACATTCTTCCATGTCAGAAACAAAATCCAGAATCAGTACAAAGCAGTTTCAAGATGCTTACACTCTGACTTTGTGCACATGCCCCAACCTGCATTCCAGTCATTGTATTAAGGGCTAAGACACAATTTACAGAAATAAGGTCAATCTTGTTGTGACCTCTGTTGATAAGGAGTTGAAATTCAAGAGTTTGGTTCTTAGTATTTTATAGTCAGTTAAAGATACTTAAGTTTGCAGGTTGGAGCTAGAACACGCACTAGTAAGTATGATAGACATTGAAGAGTGAGACAAAAAGAATTAAAAGACACTGTGTCTCCCTATCTGTGAAATGAGGAAGTAGAACTAGATTTCTATACTTCCTTCCTACCTTAACATCTTATGATTCTATATAACAAGAGTAATTATAAAAATATTTAAGGAGCCCTTCGAAATAGTCTCCTTTACTCCTTACAAGAACCTATGAGATTCCTTTTATCAATCCTATTTTATAGGTGAGGAAACAGGCACAAACATATCAGTCACTCACCAGGTTATATCCTAAGAGGTGAAGCTAATTCGCACTCAGCAGTGTGACTCGAGCCTTGCTCTCATACACCCTACCCACTCGCCCTCTCTCTTTATGGCAAGCATGCCTCTAGCTTCTCAGCTCTTGTTACTGGTGCATTAGAAACACCACAAGCAGAAAGGAGGCATTTCCACATGGAGGGCATCCATCGACCTCCTAAGCAACTGTCAACCTAAGTTGCATTTTGAGTCCCCTAGGATCCTTCAGCAGCACTGATGCATGCGTCCCACCCTGAGATTCTAATAGGGTCAGTCTGGCATGCAGTCTAGGCATTGGGCTTTTTTCTTAAATGTTCCTTAGAAATTCATATGTGCATAGCCCAGGTTGAGAGTGACTATTCCAAATTTTCTGGGATTGGGGTTGGTTCTGGAGGCAGGTTCCACCACATAGGATCAGGTACTGACCTTATATGTTAACCATTTGTATCATAATGCAAGATTTTAAATTCTACTTAAAGTGGATTCATCTGTGTTTGACCGTACCATCTGTTGTTTTATTTAAAATTTTTTCTTAGAGTCTTTTAAGTATTCCAGTGTTTTATTACACACTGATAGAGTTAAAAGAAAGGAAAAGAACACAAAGTAATTCCTACTGAAAGCAACCATTACGTTATTTTACTCTTTTGGATCAACTTTTTCACAAATTGTGATTATGATTTTTGGTCCCTTCTATGTAAGATATGATAAATGGTATCAGTACGTAGACAAATGGCAGTGGATTTTATATTTAAAAGTACAAATAAATTAGCTATTGTGATGTCCAACCATTTTTTTTAAATATTAGTTATCACTTAAGTTCCACAAAAGCAGAATCATGTCTGTGTTAACTTCTGTATCTCCATCCCCTTCCACAGACCTTGGCCTATAATGGGTACTATTAGACTACTCTACAACTAATGAATGTGTAAATAAATGAATGAGTTATAAATAGCTTCACATAATGAGGAAACTCAAACTATTGCATGCTTATACCAAAAAATGACTCTGTCAAAAGAAAATAGTACTTTTGTTAAGACCCTCTCTCATTCTTACAGGTCATATGAAAGATGTTGGCGAGGGGAGGACTGTAGTAATAGAGAATTTGGGGTTGTTTTTAGAGATGGTGAGGGGCAGAGGGAGAGAGAGAATCTTAAGCAGGCTCCACCCCGAGTGTGGAGACTGACACAGGGCTCAATCTCACTACCCTGAGATCATGACCTGAGTCGAAACCAAGAATTGAACACTTACCTGAGCCAGCCGGCACACCTTTTTTATTGAGGTGCAGTTAACACATGGTGTTACATTAGTTACAGCTGTACAACATGGTAATCAGACAACTCTATACATTGTCGCATTCAACACCAGTATAGCTGCCGTTTGTCACCATAAAATGCTGTTACATTATTGACTGTATTCCCTCTGCTGTATCTTTCATCCCGGTGACTTATCCATTCCCAAACTGAAAGCCTGTCCCTCCCACTCCCCTTCACTGTTTTCTTGTTTCCTCTCCACACCCCTCTCCCCTCTGGCAACCACCAGTTTGTTCTGTGTGTTTATGTGTCTGTTTCTACTTTGTTTGCTTTGTTTTTTATATTCCACATGCAAGTGAAATCATATGGTATCCTTCTCTGACTTATCTCACTTAGCATTATGCCCTCTAGTTCCATCCATGTTGTCACAAATGGCAATCTTTTTTTATGGCTGCATAATACTCCATAGAACATATATACCACATCTTCTTTATCCATTCATCTACCTATTAAACTACATGTCTCTTTCACAATGACAGGATCTTTTATCAAGATTTGAGAGAGAGAAAGAGTGCATGGGGGGGAAGGGCAGAGGGAGAGAGAATCTCAAGCAGACTCCCCGCTGAGTGTGGAGCTTGACACGGAGCTGGATCTCGTGACCATGAGCCGAAACCAAGAGTCGGACGCTCAACCAACTGAGCCACCCAGGTACACCTCACAATAACAGAACACTCACATCTATCTACTGGTTATTGGTGAATTGAATACTTATGTGCTAAGCTCTGGATAATGAAAGAAGTACATGCTATCCCTGTAGGTTGAGACTTTGTGAATGTTCTAGAAGTATGAATAGTAAAATTTTATCTGACCTCTGCTAACATGGGTCTGTCGCTGCCCATTTCCACAGAGCAGTCTGACTGAGATGGCTTTGGGGAGAGGGCGAAGAGATGACAGAGGCCCTTAAGCCTTGCTGACTCTACAGAAACTGCACTTAACTCCTTCACTCCAGTGTCCTTATTAACCATTCCCTGGTTAGTTATGCACTGTGTGGCACGTGGTCCACCCTTGCACTGTGCTCGACTAGTTTTTTTCTGATTTCTGTCTTAGAGGATTTTAACCATGAATCCCTTTACAACTTTCCTTCTAGACAGGTCTGTTGGGTTAATGCCTCTGCAGACCTGGCCTCAGCCACTGCTACTCACTGCTTCCCCCATCCTAACAGCTGGGCCAGATGCCTTTCAGAGTCAGCAAAACCTGTTTTTTAAAGGTACAAGAGAAAAAAAACACTTGCCATGTGACCATAAGCAGGAGCTACTGGAAGAACCCAGGCTATTGGCTTTTTTATGGTAGCTGCTGTTTTGAAATCATTCTGAAGTTCATTTTCTTCATCTCTTTGAACCTTGTCTTTTCCTCAGTGGTTGAACCATGATTAGACCCTTTTGGTCTTAAGGAACTGCCTTTAACCATTTACTTTATGCTACCCCTCCTGGTCACAACTTTTTTTTTTTTAAGATTTTATTTATTTATTTGAGAGAGAGAGAATGAGAGACAGCAGGAGAGGGAGGAGGGTCAGAGGGAGAAGCAGACTCCCTGCCGAGCAGGGAGCCCGATGCAGGACTCGATCCCGGGACTCCAGGATCATGACCTGAGCCGAAGACAGTTGCTTAACCAACTGAGCCACCCAGGCGCCCCTGGTCACAACTTTCATACATTCCTCTTTTCTCGGCCCTCATGTTGTATGTATGTGGAACCCAGCCACCTAGAATATTTCACTCTCTTCTTCCTTTAGAACAAAATCTATTAATCCCAGTCTGTTTTTCCACATTGTCCTTTCATGGGGTAGAGTGCCAGAGATCAGGTCTCATTAAGATGTTTTCATTTAGGGTAGAAGGTTTGATCTTACCCTTACTTCCGTGGTCTGGACAGTTTAAAGCATTACCACGTACATCTACCCCATATTCCGAAATAGTCTTAGCCCCAAGGGCATGACCCATTGTGAGACTGTGGCAAATGATCTGTAACCAGCAACAACATGTCAATGTTTGTAAATGGATCCAAGGATATTCCTATTTATCGACTACTGTCACTCCTGGGCATTCCTGCAGGATTTTTTAAAAAGGAGAGAAAGGGACAGAATCACATAAAGCCATTGCCATGACGTCCAGCACAGGTCATGTATGCCCTAGCCAAGACACTTTGAACGATTATGGTGGTTACATATTCTAGTCCTTAATCTGGGTAGGTCCATGGGACTGTGAATAAAAGTTCATTCACACTGGTCTGTCATTAAAATACCCATCACATTTCTTTGGGTGGCAAAACCAGTCTGATTTTCAAAAAACTAAGAAGACTAGGATTCACTATATAAGACCAAGTATAGTAGAAAACCGTTACTTAAGTTACTAGACAGATAAGACATTTTGCATTGGAAATTTATTCAAGATAGGGCATGCTATATTATCTGAGCTCTATATACATGCCTTATTTTCAGTTATTAGATTGTGATAATCCAGCTAGAGAAAGCTCATAAAATTGCTTAAATCTAAACAAAATCCTTTGGTGAAGAAAATATTTTCAGGCCAGTCAGTTCTGCCAAATCAGTCTTTGGCGATCAATAATGTCACAGCCGAACTGCGCTCACATCCAAAATATCTTCTCAGAAGAAAGCAACTTTGCCATAAGAACTGTTACTCTTCACGCCATGGTATCATTGCTAAATGACATCTCCCAGTTTGTACGTATAAAACCATCTTTAAGATCATTTTCTTTTGACATCAACTGTAATAGAGCCCAAAGGGGAAAAAAAAGAACCCTCAATCACAGAAAATACCAAAAACTTGAGTTTGGCTCCATAAAATAAAAAAAGCAATTCAGGTTTTTTATAATTTTAGAGTTTGTTTCACATATGTTGTGTTACTAAGCAATGAACACTTTCATAAAAAAATTTATTTCACACTTTTATACAAATATCCACAGGTATTTTCTAATCATAATTTTACAGTGCTAGTTAGTATTAAAATGTATCAAATGCAAACAGACCAGTGACTTGACTTGAGATGACGTTTTTAACAAACACCATTACATTCTTTGTTGTTGAACCAGCCCTCCACCTCCTCCCTCCCTTTTAGGACTTTTTTTTTTTTTTTTTTTAACAACAAAGGTCTATACACACTTTCAAAATATCAGCTGCTTGGCAACCCATAAAGCCTGTGCATTCGGTTACAAGTTACCTACCTAAGCAAGAAACGGAGATGTCAACACTGGTATGACCTGTCTTAGAGACATTTTTGTAAACAAAGTATTGTTTCTAAAACTATCTTTGTGAATGAAAATTCCAAGGTACAATGAGAATAATGTCCTTAGTATCTTAAGGGCATACGATTTCTGGAAAGAAAACAAACCAAGCATACAGCTGTATTTTGTCCTGAAAGATTGAGATGCTGCTTATACTAGATCCAAACAAATTAGCACCTGTTTGCTGTTATGCCCCATATAACATTTTGAAGTAAATTTTTAAAAATTCAGATTTCCTATCTATTCAATGTCTCTTGAATGTGTAGAAATGTTTTCCTCCTCTGCCACTTAATTTTTACATTTAAAATGGTAGCGCAGTCCCAAAGTAATTTTGGGGAATATAGCGTAGGAGGAAACAAAGCAAAAACCAGAACACTGACTCACTGATTAAATGATTCCAGTAACATTTAAAAACGTAAAAGCCATGATGTTCTGACTTCTGGTATCAGATACTCAGTAGTCTCACGCTGGATCCATTTGGACCCACCGTAGGCACCAGCCCTTTCTTTCAGTATTTGCAGCAGGGCCTACACTGTGCCAAAGTTCAACAAACCAACCCCTCATTTCTGAGAGATCCTGAAAGTTACAGCACAAAATATGCAGATCTCACTCAAAAATATGCACTGTCTGATAAGAATTAAACATCTTACAGTTAAATCCTATTTCTGAAACAGTCCGGGTCTGGAGAAACGGGGTGAGGGCTGTCATGAAGGGAGATGTAATAACTTATAAAGGATTTGTGTGTGTGTGTGCACTAAATTCAAACCACATTCTGATTGTTTAATCCAACTGGAAGGGTAAACTGGAGAATCTTTGGCCTGTCAGTAACAAAATGGTTTGTAAAAAAGAAAAAAATAAATACCATATACAAGTAAGTATACCTAGCATTCAAGTCTGTTGCAGCCGTGTGTTTTAGTGAACGGGAAGGGTGAGACCAGGATGTTGTGTGGTGTGAGGAGGATTCACACGTCTGGGAAAAGACGGCAGGATGGCCACATCCCCTATTGCACATTTCACTTCAGAGAGCACTCGGCATTGAAATGCAGCCACCCCGACGGCCCGGGCCTAGGGGAAGAAGGGGTGCAGAGGCTGAGCCACTGAGGACGGCCGGCCCTGGCACATGCCAAGCAGCCACACCGAAAACAAAGGCAACCCGGAAAGTTAAATGAAGGCAGTTAAAGCAAACTCCACTCCAACAGTCTTAAATGCGGCTGTGCAAGCCCAGGGAGCCTCAGGCTACACGACAGCATCCACGGTGAAAGCTGTAAGTTCGGACCGTGCGTAGTCTGTCTGAAAGTAATATTCAGGTATGGAGCAGGCTTGTCAGTCCACTTAGATTTCTGAGTTAGTGGGGGGAAAGCAGTTTGGGTACTGTGAAGCTTTTCTGGGCCCCTTTTAAGAGTAGCTTTCATTTTCATTCCACCTTGTGATCCACTGTTTTTTTTCAAGGTTATCGATGTATTTTTCATCTTTGATCTCCCGCTCTTCCTTCCGGATCCTCACAGCATGGTAGCGGGGAACGCTATCGTCGTACCTAGAGCGTTTAAAGAATCCGCACTGACCAAGGGGAGAGAGAAGCAGAAACAAATTAAGTACTGCAAGAAAAGCAAGTGCACAAAATGGGAACGTCTAAGCTTTCTGTTCAGCTATGCCTACCTTTGGATGAAGGAAAAAAAAAAACAAAACACATGGTTTCTATGAAGAAGGAACTAGTAGGTTGAAAAGACACAACAGCCAGTGGGGATAAACAAAAGAGAAGACAGCTGTGAAACTAGAAAAGTCTGTTTTTCCATCCTATCTTTACATTTTGTAACAATGTAGTAAGCTAGCTCTTTACTAACAATTTCAGTTATGGAACAGTGCTTCCATTTTTTTATAATCACAACACTATATTAAAAAGATCTCATTTTCAGATTATTAATTTTAATTTAAAGAACAATCTTTTTAAAGGCCACAAACTAAAGATCATTTCATCATGCCTCTCTTCCACTAACAAAATGGAATCAAATCACAAATATTTTGCCAATTACTATTTGAATATGCCAGTGTTCAAACGAGTCAGTTTAAGAATCTTCTGTCCCCTGAGGCTAAGTACACATCTCTCATTAGCTACAAGGCAATTTACACTGCCTGGATTTCCTGTTGTGCTTCCAAATTATTAAGCTGTTTCATTAATAAATCACATAGCAACTATGTCCTATAATAAAATCAATCATGTACTGCAAAGAACTTGAGGAAAGTATCCCATTGAATTTCAGAGCAACCCTCATATTTTCTTTTGCAGAAGACATTTACACTTAAATTATTAATGTATATTTTATTCATTTTTTAAAAATATTCAATCTGATCCAAAGTAGATTTTTATTGAGAACATATCAGGAAATTTTTTAATCAAACTGAATTTTTTAAATGAATAAAATATATGTTTCATGGAAAATATGTGTTTTTGATTTAAAAATGCAGCCAGGAGGAGGATGAGGAAGATACTTGGAATGGTCAATGTGTATCGTTTAACAGGAACAGAACATTTATGTTGAATGAGGTTATAAAAATGGCATGGGGCAAAGTGAAATTAGATTCAGTCATCACTAAATCATTAGGAAAAATGGACCAAGAAGTTTTGTTCTAAGGCCATTTCCACATGGACTCCTTTATTTTGTGCAAAAAAGCCAAAATACTATTACAAAATGTGGCTCTTCATTAAAAAAAAGGAAATCAAGGGTGGTATGTAGGACTGAAGTGGAAAGGCTGGGATTCATCGTGACAGTGCCATGGAAAGGGGTTACAGGAGTAATTCCATCCTCTTGTGCCCACAGAAATCGAAAAAGGAATTACCACCAATTCCTGTTTCCATGGATTTACAAACTAGAGAAGCAAAACACGAACTTAAAAATCAACCGAGACCCAAAGTTGAGTAAAATCTCTAGGAACATGAAACAAGGTCAAACTCCATTACAACATATTTGAAACCGTAACTGTCCAGGGCATTTTTATATTAGAATTTTGTATAATGAAGGTCACTTTGGTAAAGAACCATTTTCTGAAATTGGCCCTCATGTCCACCAGGTCAACAGTGATAGTTTGTTGTAATGGTTTTTGACCTGTAGTAGATATACAGGAAAAGGAAGTTGCATGCTTAGCTAGCATAAACAATTACTGAGCAACAAAAGCATTCCAAGCCTTCCCCCATCACTTTATAGCAAGATCAAAAAGGACAGTGAGAAAGCCTTCCATCAAGAGAAACACAATGTTTCCAACATGCAACAGGTTAATTAGGCAGTCAACACAAGCTTCTATCTGTGGGAAATCCCAAAGTGGACAAGAAATCTGCAATGATTTCTTATTCATCTTTGAAATTCCAAGTGGGATGCTATATTCTGGGATTGACAACAGCCTAGCAAACTGGGCTACTAGGGAGGTCTAATGCCTCTTTTTATGTGTACAACGATTCCAATCATCTTCCTTGCTGTGGGTGATATTTAACAACACAAAAATAACTCACCTGCAACAAAAGATTTTTTGTGCATTTCTTAAAAAACAAAACAAAACTGAGCTTTCAAGTGAAATAAAATAAATCCAAGCAAGGCAAGCCAGTGTGGACATTTGGAAACATCTGTTAATGGGACACACACAGCAAGCTGTTGCTCTTAACGTTAGCCACCACAAGCCTAGCAGGTCCCACAGCTAGCAATTAAAAACATTGATCAATTACCAATTACAGAAGCAGATCAATACTAGGCATCAGAAGTAAGCCTCTCTTTATCAGACGGCTGAGCATGGATCTCAGCCTTGTGATAGGTGGCATCATAATGATCTTTCTTATTTCTCTTGAAGAAACCACACTATAAGGAAGCAAGGTATTTAGTCAGTTTTACAGTTTTGTGTATAAGAGCTAAACAAAAGAAAAATCTTAGATTGTAACCTGTTTTCTAGTTATAGCTTGTTAAGAGAGACCACTTATGGATCAACCAGAATTGAACAGCCACCACACTATGTCATACTGTGACGGCAACCAAACCAACCTGACTACCATGGGTCTCTGGCCAAATACTTATATGGATGACGTTAATCAGCTAATTGATTTTTCTATCTGTAACCGAAATCCTGAGGACAAAAAAAATCCTAAAAGGAAAATCATATACCCATCTGACTGAAGCTTTGGATGGTTTCTTCATGCAGGAGAATATGAACTCTAAAATAGGCAAAAGTTTGACTTCTGCAGTTTTTCTGTGACAAAGAAGTTTGCTAAGATTTAGCACAAATCCAAATAAAATAGATACTGCATTTTTCTATCTTTCACAGTAAGTTTTATATAGCTACCACCATCTAGTTGAGGCCTTTGGATTTGTGGGCAAATATAAATTCGAATACACCATCATGAAAGAATGATTGCTGTAGTTTTCCCAAATTCTGAACCACCAGGTAACCCTTAAGTGGTAGGAACTTATGCTCCTCAGGTTAGGTCACTCTAAATCAACACAGAGGTGTAATTCCACTTTTTACTATAATTTCCTTCATCCAAAGAGGGAGGACTTTTTCTATTTACTTGTTCGTAAGGCTGTGGAACTGCCCTTTGAAATATAGCTTGGTAAAATCAATCTGCCCTCCTGGAAAATTCTGTTTCCTAGTCTGGCAACTCATTAAGGTAAAAATCTAGATCTGTTTTGTACAGTATGGTAACTACTAACTACATGTGGGTATTCAAATTTAAAAATACCTTAGTTGCAACAGCCACATTCCAAATGCTCAGTAGCCACCTGTGTCTCACTGGATAGTGCAGCTTCAGAAAATCTCCATTATCACAAAGTTTTACTGGGCAGCACTGATCCAAACCCTTCATCTTGATATCTACTTGTGACTCCCTCCATTTAATACACAGTGAACATACCCAGCCAACTTTCAGTAACACATACTGATAAATAGGGTTAGGTGAAGGAATGAACCAGGAACCAAGAGTCCTGGTCCTGCTTCTAGCTTGGCAACATTCTTAATATCCACAGGCATGAGCATCCTTGTTGGCAAAATGAAGGTGACTGGACCAGCCTGAAGGATTTTTCTCTTTACCTCTAAACAAAACCCTATGCAATATCCTGGTATTTAACGCAAACAACATCAGAACGACTCTCGTTGAAGTGGGGATATTGGCTCTAGCTGCACCATAGCTTAATCTTGGTACCTATGTGGGTAGGCAAAACCCAATTTTAAAGGCCACTGAACTCCAGTCCTTTCTGGCCCTTAAGTTCTATGATTTTAATACATGAAACAAGTAGTCCATTTTCAGAAAGAATATCAAAGTAATAAAAATGGTCTTCATGTAGGGGTTATAGAGGTTGTCTGATTACTTTAGAGTTCACTTACGAGTTCTGGATACTTTAGAGCTACAAACAACCCCTGAGATCATAGTCCAAGCCACTTAACTAAAGAGCTAAAGTAAACCAGTGCCTCAGGGAGATGAAATGATTTGCCTAAAATTATAGAGCTTGGGTTTCTTAACCCACTGCTATGACTCACCCTCATTAGAGATTACCAGTAAGACCTGCTCTGAAAAAGACTGTCCTTGTGACCTCCTCCAGAAAGCACACACAAAGCCCATCCTCAAATATCAAACTTCAGATTGAGTTTTTGATACCAAAATAATTTACCAAGCATCTCCTATGGCTGGCTGTGCTGACCAGAGAAACCTACTGCCTGAAGTGAACCTCAGAGGTAGGACTGGCTAATATCCAGTGCAGGGAGGAGTCTTGGCATGAGCAGTCACCAAGCTCCAAATCACACATTTGGAGGACACCAGAAAATTATCTCAAACTGGCAAAAGGAAGTTACTTGGAAGAATAACACAAAAAAGAAATGTCCAATATTTGAAAGTGACAATATCCTGAATCCTTGTCAATTATACTCTTGGATCCAAGGGAAAGGATAAAGATGGTTTGATCCTAGAGACTGTTGGTAGAGGTTCATAAGCATTTAATCCAAAATCCACTGGACCAGACAGGTTTGGAAATCTAGAATTTTGGCATTTTAGAAAAGTAGTATGTTGCATACATAATGCCACTCTAATCAAAACATTATTAGTTTCACAGCAGAACCATTAAATAAAGGATAAGAATATAAATAGCTTCTCTTCACATGTTGTCAAGTTTTGCTGGCAAATAAGTCATTATGAACTTTCAGCTTTCAGAGTATCTTGCAATTTGTAATTGTCGATAAGGGACTGTGAACCTCCATTGGTCACTGAGAATAATCCAAACTCTACAGGTCATAATCTTTGGCAACAAAAGTATGTATCCATCTCATTACACACATTTTTATAATGTAGACTGTTTACTGGCAGAAATCAAGGAGAAGATACTAATTTTATTTGCAGGACCAAATTCTAATGAAGAACATCATATTAAACCCAGATCTTCCTCATGTTTGATAGAGGCAATGAGGATCCCTTGCAATGCAGTTATTAATTTCATGCTTTTCTATTCCTAATCTAGCTGCAACTGTCACAAGCCCCAGTGGCTACCACGAACATTTCTTTATAGAAGTTGAAATTAACAGGGATACAGGTTCAGATTAATGTGATATCCAACAATTTGGCTTAGATTCAGAATTTTAGATGAAGAAATTGCTAAAGTATTAACATTTTTTAAGTTATTTGCCAAACATGCTAAATTATGTGAAAAGCACCTAAATTTATTTAAGAAACTCCTTATAATATAGAACTAATATACTTTTAAATATCAGGTACTAGGTAGATATACAGTTGTTCATTGTAAAATTCTCAAGTTTGCTCCATTGGCAAAGTTTCATAATAAAATGCTGGGAAAAGGGAAGCATTCCAAAGGAATGTACAGACTATCACTGTAAATTCACTCTTTTAAAAAACATGAAATAAAGTTTAGGTCATTAGAACTCAAATGCCAAATAGGACTTACCTTCCATAGTAAAAACACTAAGAGAGCAAGCATCAAAATCCCAGCGAGTATAGCCACTAAGATGATCCACCAAGGTACTCCTGAATACTGAGCTATGGTCTTTGAGGGAAACACAGTCACACGAATCTATAGGGCATAAAAGAAAGCACCATTGTAAGGGAGCGTGAGAATACCAGGAGTTTATAGTTCTAATTCTGCTTCCAGACGCATTTTGAACAATGCAGCCTATGGATGAATGAGATGCCTTTTTGATGTGAGATCTTTTCCCAGAACCTGGAAAATGCTGGACTGCGTTTTGACAGTTATTTTTTGGATAACTCATCTTTTAAAAACTTTTGTATTGAATCAAAGTAGAGGAAATTGTATAATAAAGCATTCTTTTTTTCATCATCAAGTTTCAACAATCATCAATGCACATCTTGTTTCATCCATATAACCAGGTATCTTGTTGAGAACGATCACCTTCCCCTTTTGTTTTTAGTATGGAAATAAAAGGGCCATTTTATGTACAATTAGCCTATATTCCTTACTTGGATTTAAAGATGTTGTGAAATATAAAAATAAGGATGGAGTTGCATTGCTGATACTGTTTTAACTTTTCCTTAGGATGTCAAGACCCTCATGCACAGCAGAATTTCCTGAAATGGCCTGGAGCGTGTTCTTCGACAGTGTATTTGGACCAAGTAGACCCCTTCAGAGGTGGCTTCGAGCTGTAAGCAGCAGCTGATGAGAAGCCTAAGCTCTAGACATTTGGTAGTTGGGAAATACCAATTAAACAGAAGTAGTGTTTATTCAGAAATCTAAAAAGTTGCTTCTGGCAGTTTGCAACAACTTGGTTCTGTGGGTTTAGGACTCTCAAGTGGATTTCCGTGATGCCAGGAGACTATTTTTCACAGCTTGTAAAAGACTTCGTGATTGCTAGGAGTATGATTTCGTAAACAGATTAGAGAGCTTCCAGTTTGAAGTTTTTGATATTTCTGACTTAAGAAAATGTAAAGTGAAGGGTCAACAAAAAGTACGAGTCTTTAAGTTCTGAGAAGTGTTTTCAGTCAAGTACTATTAGTATTGAACCCCGGATGCTGCCTAAAAATGCTTCCATGTCTGTCTACATTGTGCTTCGATTAAAAAAAAAAAAAAGTTTTCACTAAAATACTTCCCTTTCTACTTATACTAGAAAACAGCTTATCAACCTCATCTGTCTTCAGAATATACTTTAAAGCAAGAGAACTGCGTTTCTTGGAACATTTAAGAGCAAAGAAGTCAATTTTCAGCCTGCTATACCGACTCTAACCCCTTTATCAGCTATTATGTTTCCTGTTATGCTCTCAGTGAGGTCTCACTCAAACTGTCAGCCAGCCCCACCCTGGGGGGGGGTGCCCCATGGCTCATTTCCCCTTGCCTCTCTCCCCCCAACAGTCACCCCAGCTTTTTTTTTTTTTTTTAAGATTTTTATTTATTTATTCATGAGAGACAGAGAGAGAGAGAGGCAGAGGGAGAAGCAGGCTCCCAAGGAGCAGAGAGCCCGATGCGGGACTCGATCCCAGGACCCTGGGATCATGACCTGAGCCGAAGGCAGACGCTTAACCATCTGAGCCACCCAGGCGCCCATCACCCCAGCTTTAAGCTAGAAAAACGCTTTCTTGAGGTTACTGGGTCTAGCACAGGGGCATTCAGGTAGTGAGAAGAATGGTGAAAGACCAGGGATAAAATAGTGCACTTGATGTGACCAGTAAGCTTGCCTACTCTGAGCCAAAACAAAACAACTAATGAGCCTGTTCTGTATCACTTAACTTTGCTTCCCTATCTTGCAGAGGGAAGCATACAGTACGTCCTTGGGGGTAAGGTGACAACCTGGAAGGGCCATCCTCATTTTTTTTTTTAAAGATTTTATTTATTTGACAGAGACACAGAGAGAGAGGGAACACAAGCAGAGGGAGTGGGAGAGGGAGAAGCAAGCTTCCCGCTGAGCAGGGAGCCCGACGCGGGGCTCGATCTCAGGACCCTGGGATCATGACCTGAGCTGGAGGCAGAGGCTTAACGGCTGAGCCACTCAAGCGCCCGGGCCATCCTCATTTTTAAGAATAAGCTCTGATAAACCTGGAAGTGGAGAGTGGTCCATGGCAGGGGAATCAACCTTATAATCAGACTGTGTACCAGAGCCTTTTAAATGGCTGATAATAGAGGAAACCACTCCTATAAATGGCAGTAATCCAACAGAATGAGAGCTGAACAGGTAACTTTCTGATTTCGTGGTGGGGGGGGTGGTGTATGTAGAAATCCAGCTGCAAAATCTAGCCCCAAGTCTGGCTACCATTCAAACCAGATTTGGGAGCCTTTTAGAAACCATAGAATAACTCACTAGGCATCAAAGAGGACAGTGACAGGTTGAGGTGAGTAGAAATTACTCAAACTCCAAAAAGAATTTTTGGGGGCGGGGGGAGTTCTTTAAAATCTAGGCATTTCCATAGGGATGACCTATGCACATGCACTTCATCCATCATGTGCCCATGAAGGGGAAATGGGGCTGAAGCTCTGCTACACAGTCAGTTCCATCATGAGCGAGCAGTGCTTAGACCTCATTCACTTGCTCACTGCCAAAATCGTTTGCCTGAATCACTCTGTAACGTCATACCCTCTATTCTTACTGAACATCAGTAAGAGAAATCACTCCATGAAGGTATTTTCATAGCTTTCAGAAAACTCTATTAAAGACCTCATTCCCTTAGTGAGCGTTCCTCGTATCAGAAACCCATCTTGTAAAAGGATCCGTATCTGAAATTCTCCAAATTTAGAGCCGAAAGAAGAAAATCACATTGCCCTGAAGAATGATGTGCCTTTTACGTACCATATTTTCTTTTATCTCTGACAGCCAGAAAGCAGATACTCTTTTCCAACTTCCTTAGGAATGAAGTGGGGGATATAGAAATAGAACCAATAACAATCCCTTCCTCGGCTCAATTCAACAATTATCTCCTGGTTCACATGGACCATGAAATTCTTAACAGTTCACATGGCGTATCTTACCGAACTTTGGTTTCTCTAGCATTTGTGCAGGGAAGGCAGACACTGTGTCCTTAATAAGTGCTTGTAAACTGGATGGATTTCATGGATGCTAAAATGTAACCATTTTATCTGGTTCAGTTATGTGACCAGCTCTCTCAGACTTTGTTCTAACAGGTGTTGAAAGTGTATCGAGAAGTGAACACAAAACTCTTAAAATTGGTTGGGTTATAAGGAAACTAAAAGGGTTTTTTCCTTCCTTTTTAAAGCCAGGATTAGAATAAAAGCAAGCAGTTTTAATATGAAGACCAAAAGACAAGACTGAATTACCCCACCTCCTCTGCTTCTATCTTCAAAGAAAAATGATCTTCGGGCTGGAAAATGCAACAGATGAACCAAGATAAAGATAAAACTGAAACCCACAATAAGTGAGGGAATAAAAAAGGAAAGCATCCTAACACATGAATTAAACTTAAATCTTTAGGCCCAGAAAAAGTACACTCTAAAATACTAAAGAAACCTGTATATAGGACATCGGAGCTGTTGTCACTCAGAAATCAGAGTCAACAGAAGAGGTACCAGAAGACTAGAGGCAAGAAAACATTTGTTTTCAAGACAAATGCACTCTAGATACAAGACATTAATCCATTCATGTATCCACCAATTATTAAACCAAGGAGGATCACAGCAGAGATCCCAATTCCCATTAGCATGCCTGAGTTCTCCAAGCCCTTACACGTAATGCCCAAGATAAGCTCACTTTCATTTGTGACCCAGCCGCTAGACTGGATACCAACACCCCAGTTCCATCATCTTCCAGCCAACAAGAGCACTTGATGAGGGCTTGTGAGTCCAACGTCTGGTCTCCCCTCCACATGCCCGCCAGTCCTATGACCCTGAGAGAGAGACCTTTCTTGGGTTGTTTTCTCATCTGAATTTGAGATCTGGGGACTTAATGGGAAGCAAGTGTTACAGAGTTAAGAATAGGAGCCCTGAAACCAGACCAGTTTACAGGTTTCAATTCAGGACCCCACTGGCATCCCCTGCTGTGCCTCCTTCCTTTTTTGGAAAATGAGTACATCTACCTTGTCATTCTGAGGTTCAGAGGACTACAGATAATTAATGCATTATTAATGTCTGTCCCTTCCCTCTAAATTGTGTGTTCTTTCCCCAGCTCTAAAAACTCAGTGATTCTCCAGGTTACTGGCTGCAAGTTTCAGAAAGCTATGGCTGCCGCCTCCAGTCAGAGGGGCAGAAAAGGGCTTCTCAGGGAGGTTCTGTTCAGTTGATAGTCTCTTCTGATGCCTTATTGGTAAGAGGCAGGAAGGTGAGCTGGAGTAGCATGCAGAGATGATCTAAGGCCAGGGTGACCGGATGTCCTGGTGAGCCTGGGACAGTCCTGATTTATAACCCTTGTCCCAGCATCCTGCCCAGTTTAGCATCTGCCCCAGACAAACATCTCTGGGTTTGGATGAATGATTTTAACAGCCAGGGATCACTGTATTCAGAAACCAGTGCTCAGGGAGGCTCACTGCATTTTCAGCTGGCTCAAAGGTCCGAAGCCAAAACTTCCATTGGCACATCAGTAGATCAGCTGAAGAACGGTACGTCAGTCTTTTTCTCCATTCAGTCTCTTTTGCAAAACACTCTGGTCCATGACATGCAGGCATTGTATCTCAAGAGCATGACACAAGCCCCTGTGGGCTCCAGACCCCCACAAGGAACCCTTCCCAGTGTGCCCCCACAGCCACTGCCCCCAGTTCTGTTCAGTACTTTTCTCAGTTGCCTGGATGAGGACATAGAAGCTGTGCTTCTCAGCTTTGAAAAAGATAAAGGGATAGAAAGCTAAGAGAGGGCAAATGATCAAGAGTCAGAACTACTTTGTGAACTGAAACGACAGACCACAAGCCAACCACCTAAAACAGGAGATATTTAAAGGCATGCATTTAGATTTTTAAAAATTGCTCAAGGATGGGATATGGGAGCTATAGCTTGACAACACATCCTGCTGAAAACACTTGGAAGTTTCAGCAGAACAGAAACACAAAAACAGAAGCTGCTGGAAGTACAAATACAATCTTCTGTGTACACCGAAAAACCAAGTTTTAGGCTGACTGATAGCAGCGTGGGGCCGCGGTGTTGGGAGGTAAAGGCCTCACGGTGAGCCGAGCGAGGCAGATCACACATCCGCGCCCTGCCCGCCCAGGAGTCACACTGCCGGACCAGGGCCAGCCCAGGAAGGAGACGGCCTGGCCTGATGGGTAGCTGAAGAGCTGGAGGCTCTGCTCTGAACAGAATGAGAGACCTGTCCAAGGGGCATGCCCGTTTCCTTCAGTTACTCCAAAGGTTGCGACATGGCTAAGAGAAGGGACTTATTTTGGGCTTGTTCCAAGGGGCATAACCAGGGACCGATTTTGTAAGATTCAACTCTGGATTCATATATATAAAGAGATCGTTTCTAATAACTACAGCTGGCCACACATGCCGTGAGCTACTCCATAAAGTGGTGGTTACCATCATGGGGACACTCCGGCAGTGGCTACAGCACTGGGGATAGTTTATGACCTGGGGTTTCTATAGAGGTGGGAGGTGCACCCATTCTTTCTCAAATCTACCATGTGCACTGCAGAACTAGACGATCCTAGATGTTCTCCTTTTTCCAGTGATTCTGTTAAAATACAGCTTGGAGTGGAAGCCCCTTAGAGCATCATCGGACTTCTCCTTAATGGGGGTAACAGGGTTGTGAGGGGGAGGACTGCCAAGGTAGCGTGTCCTCAGGCTGCGGGTGTGGTGGAGAAGGAGTGATCGGCTCTGAACTCTGGGAAGGCGGAACAACCTCTCACCTGAGTGCCTGCGTTTGGCAGCTTGATGTTCTCGGCTGTGGCAGCTACATCAATGGAAGCCCGCGTGAGAATGTCCAAGTAGTTCATTTTGGAATATTCCTGTTTGGAGACAAAGTTAGCAAATGCATTTAGGAAGTGAGAAAGGTCCTAAGAGATAGCGAACTGACTTCCAGGGGACAGCCTCGAGGCAGAGCCGAACCTCTAGAAACGTGCTATTCCATAACCTCGAGCGCAGAACGATGGAGGCCTTGCTGTCCAGCCCTCGCAGCGGGCAGCTTATGTTCACGCAGTTCACGTTCATGCTGCAGTTCTGGGGAGAAAAGGGTGGTAGTTAAAATCCAACAGTAAGGGGCATCCTGCCACCGTCTGCCCAATACTCACGGCTGTTGAAAAATACTTACAAGAGTCTGATATTTTCTTTCAGCAAATAAAGAAAATTTTCCGCTCTCATCTATCTGTTTTTCAGCAATTTCCCGTTTCCTTCTTGAGCTGTGAGACTCCTGAAAAGAAATTATATCCAAAATAGTTCTACTTAATGTAAAGGTCACGACTACATAGACCTCAGCACTCCCTTGCAAATGATGCCAAATTCACATAACCAACAATTAATATTTTCCCATCTCATGTCACCAAAGGCACAGAAACAATTTAAGTGTAAAATCCACCAATGTTCCCATCTCATTGCAAGTTTATTGATTCAGGTAGTTTATTCCCACTCTGACTTTAAAACTCAGGTGAAGAGAAAGCGGGCTTTCTTTGTTCTTCTGTCTCCTCCCCAAACTGAGCATCCCGAGATCAGGCATCACATCCCATCCCTATATCCCTAGCACCCAGCTCAGTAACTAACGCGTGGTAAAAAGTCAGCACATCTTGAATAAATAAACGACACCGACAAACGGAAAAAAGCAAAAGAATGAGTATGTGACTTATTCAAAGTAGAGTCCTGAAAACTAACCCATGTAAGTAGTTTTAAGATAGCATTTTCCTTAAGATAGGATTAAGAGTGTGGGCGTCTGGGTGGCTCCCTCGTTAAGCGTCTGCCTTCAGCTCAGGTCATGGTCCCAGGGTCCTGGGATCGAGCCCACATGGGGCTCCCTGCTCAGTGGGGCATCTGCTTCCCCCTCTCCCTCCGTGTGCTTGCTCTCTCTCTCAAATAAATAAATCTTTTTAAAAAATAAATAAGAATGAAAGCTTTGAAGGTCTCTTGCTAAAATGCCAGTATCTTTTGTAATGAGTTTGGTTGTATTGGGAGTGAACACTGGCCCACCCCAGAAGCACATCCCAGTCCTCTTTATAGGTCATACTGGGTCCTAAAACTCCAGAAAACGTCATTTCCTTCAACAAGCACTGAATCACCCTGACTGATGTGCCATAATGGTAGCCAATCAGCAGAAATCCTCAGCCTGACTTGGTTACTCAACTATAAGAGAAAATGTGACACCAAAGAAGTCAGCACACCACCATGTCACTTTCCTCAGGAAAGTAAGGATTTTCCCCACAAAAGTCTGCTTCCCTTATTTACGCTATGAAGACAGAGGGTAAATCAACATACCTTTAGGTTCAGGAAGTTTATTTCACTTCGTGGCTCACAAGCTATGTTTTCCAATCCTTTGGATTCTACTTTCACCAAATAAAGCAACCATTTGCCGTTGCTAATTTCTTTTGGCCACTGGATATTCAAAGTTGCTGTGCCAAGGTTTTTAAGAGGTTTACCCAAGTTAATTACCTGTTAGGAAATAATACGTATTATATCTCAGTGTAATTCTCTCAATAGGAAATTAAGTAGCAGCTCCTGTGGCCAAGGGGGGAAAAAAAAGAAATATCTGGCATAATCCTCCAATGAAAGTATAGGCTCCAAAAATAAACTACAGATAGATAGGGCCTCCACAATAGAGATGCATGCCTAGGCAAGGTAAAAGAGAAACGACTGCTCCTTTAACCCAGGAACTACTGCGTGCAAGAGAATCTGCAGCGTAGACAGGCCATGCTCTCAACATGCTCTGGGAGGGTCACGGGGGTCTGTGAGTCTCTGTGATCGGCCTGCCCGGCAGAGGAGTCTGGGCCACGGCGGCGCGCCAGCAGCCTGCTCCGGGGAAGCTCCACCTTATGCCGAAGTCAAGCTGCCCCTGTCTCCTACTAGAAGGAGGCGCTTGGGGAGCAACTGAGAGCCTGAGTGAAACCGTTCATGACGGCCGTGAATCAGGAGTCCGAGCCGGGAACACAGCAACTTCCTGCAGCGGAAGCCAAATGCGGAGTGAGCTGTGTGTGCGCGAGGCGGGACTGCCGTGGGCCCCGGAGACACCTCCTCGCTGCTGCCGCCGCTGCTCCCTGTCACAGCTGTGTCTGCAATGCTGAGACACACAGAGCGGGACTCAGCCCCTCACCCCGCTGGAGTCAGGGGTGGGCCCTTCTTGCCATCTCAGACTTTCGCCTCCACTGTGGCCACTGGGCTGTCTCGGCATGCTTGAGCCATGCAGACCCAAACCCACAGATGAGTTTTGAGCCACTTCTGCACCACGCGCTTATGTTCACCCAACTGGGCTGAGAGTCACTGGGATTCTTGCTTAGAAATGCTTCAGAACAAGCATGCGTGTCCTCACGGGCGCCGGGCTTGTCAAACGTGAGGGAACACGAACCACACGCGCTAAGAGACAGGACCTCACGATGGAAGAAGAAAATCCTAACACGTTCTAAAGCCAGGTATCAATTACTTTGAGATCTGTGTCACGGACAGACTCGGGGCGGGGGGCGGGGGGGATTCCTTTGTCTCTGCACCACTTATACATGAAAACGCTCTAATAAGAAAATGACCAAACTGAACTGGATTTTGAACAAAGTCCATGTTGAATGACAGTTGTGTTCTCCGTTCTGGAGGACAAAATTTTTACGGCAAGCCAGTATGTGCTTTAAACATTGGTGAACTCGCTTTTAACTGAGGATTTATCATGCTTATTAATATTTATTAATGTTGATATTACATATTAAAGTTACATATTCACATTTACTAAAATTATATTACATATATTATCAGATATAGTATATGTTCACTTTTGGTATATATAAAAGACCAAGCGCTGCAACTTACCCTGAACTCATACTCTATTAAACTTCCCACCTCATCTTCAGATTTCATAGCTTGCTCACCAACAACTGTACCTCCAAAATACACCTGGGAAGGTTTAGCAACTCTGTTAAATTAAAAAACACCAGTTTTAGCGAGGATTGTAAATGGTTCTTTTAAACACTGATTTGTTATGCTAAACACAAACACTTACCCAGAGACCGATAAAAGCAGTTCAATAACCACTTTTGCTGTAGCTGTAATTGAAGCCAAATTATCTTGATTGCTTGTTCTGAAAATGAAAAGGAAACAACAGGGTTTCATTTTAACAGTTTTCTCATTACAATTACACTTCTTTTATGAGTCAGAGCAGAGCCAATTCATTGACTGGCTGTGTTTTCATGAAATAATTCTGAATGGAAAGGTGGAAGTAATTCTTACGTTTCCAACTGCATATTAATATCCAGATCTGTGGTGTCAAAGGTGACCTCAGTTGTACTTAAAATCAGATAAAAAGTCACCTGCAGAACAGAAACAGACGTTAACACAGAGCAAGCATGCCGACCCTGTGACGGCATGAATCAGCACGACGCAGTATGCGGAAGCATCACCTACACTGGAATTTCTTTTGAAAGGATTTCCAAGCTCACAGTCCGCTTGCGAGCCGTTCTGATTGGCAACACAACTCAGCTGCTTCTCCTGTAACAGAAAAACACGAGATCACCAGCCACTCACGGGCCCCCGAGGCCGGCCGTCTGCCCCCCGCCGCCGTGGGACCGCTTACGGGGAAGGCCCGCAGTTCCCGGTACGCCGAGTAAGTGAGAGTGTCGGGAAAAGCTGCCACGAGCTTGGCCTCGTGAGCGTCATCTCCGTCCTTCGCGGGCGCCCTTGGATCGGAAGGGCCGTTGGTCACTGTTATTTCTAAAGCAATGTCCTTCTGGTCTTTCAGAACTAGTTCTGGTACACCTTTCCGACTGTAACACACACACACACACACACACAAACACAACAAAAACGACAAAGAGCTCAGTACGTTTTCAGTAACCCACTGCAAAGCCAGTCATTTTTGCTTGGGAGACAGAGTGAGTCTTACACTGGTAAGTAAGAAAACTTGTCTTGATTTCCTTCTCGGGTACAAAACTTATATTCTAGTTTAAGGTTGCTGTTACATACATTGTCGTCTCCACATCCCTCTTTTAAGAAGTGCACCTGGAGGAAAACAAAACCATTGTTGATTTGGGTTTTTTAAATTTTTATTTTTTTAATTTAAAGTCAGTTAACACATAATGTATTATTGGTTTCAGCGGCAGAGGTCAGTGATTCATCAGTCTTATGTAGCACCCAGTGCTCATCACATCTCATGCCCTCCTTAAGGTCCATCACCCAATCACCCCATCCCCCCACGCCCTCCCCCTCCAGCAGCCCCGTTTGCTTCCTAAGATTAAGTCCCTGAGGGTTTGTCTCCCTCTCTGGTAAAAACAAAACCACCGCAACAGTGACAGCCTTTCCCTGTGCAACAGCGACCATAGCAGAAGCTTCAAACGTACTCTGCCCCGCATCCAGTGCCTTTAAGGGACCCGTCTTGAACAGAGCTGTGTTGTAAGCACCCCCGACCAGGCCACTGAGGTGCAGTCAAGAGCATGAGCCCTGCAGCCGCACAGGTCCACCTTCCAAACCTGGCTCTGCCACACACTTAGCCTTGGGGCTTTGGGCAAGTCACTTCACCTTTCAGAGTCCAAGTGTCACCACTGGTGATATGGGGATGCCACCAGCCGACTTTAGAGGGATACTGTAAGTACCAGTAATAGTGATGATGCTCTGTCAGGGGGCCATCAGAACCAAGAGCCACAGAGTGGACGCTCCAGCACCAACTGGATTTTGACAGCAGGTGCACCAATGCCAGATCAGGATGCCACAGGTCCCCAGCCTATTCTCGTGTCTCAGCCACCCTAAACCCTAGCAAATAGGCCCCACCTCATAGGAGGCATAGAGCAAGCCATACAATAGCAATTGTCTTCCTAAGATTACATGCGCTACATTAGCCACTAAATGACTATTTCATGGCTAAGGAGCTTTATATTCCTTGATTTAACGTTCAGACTAACAAGTTTATTTTCTACATTTTAATGTTCTCAGTGGTAAAATGCAGTGTATTTTTCTTTCTAGCAAACGGCCATAGGAGAAACTTGATGTGAGAATGAGTTCTGCCACTTATACTCTCAGTAAGTCTCAGTAAGGCCAAAAATTATTAAGAACAATACTCTCCGGCTCCAGATTGTATTCCATGTATTTCTATATTTGTTGTCAATTTGGGAAACAAATCTCAAACAAACTCGGCATATATTAAAAAGCCTATTTATAATACAAAGGAATGGACTTTAAAAAAGCAAATCACTAGTCCTCCTGCCTTCAGACCCATGTGATGTAGCATAATAATGTGGCAGAAGCTTTGGCAATACAAAAGTCAGGAAGACTTACATCTCTCTGAACTGTCTTGGGTTCGTTTGAATTCAGAATGGGAAGAATCTCTGGAAGTGAGTTCACTCTCCTCCGCGTGTTTGGCTCTTGGATCTCTACTGAAGCAGTTACGGGAATGGGCCGCAGTTTATCTCGGATATTTTCCTGAAAAGTATGCAGAGTGAAGCATGGTATCAACGCCACTGGGGAGTTCCAAACAATGCTTGCTTTTGTCCTGAATAAGAGGCTGCTGGTGTAAGGTTCAGAGATCCAGCTGTGCCACCATAAAACCCAGCTGCTGTCCCTTCTAACGACCAACCTGACTGGTGGCGGGCCTCACCTGGAGCCAGAGGGTCTCCTCCATGCACTCCTTCTGCTTCTGCCTGGTCAGAGTTAGCTCTTGCGTATACTTGGGCTCAGAGCCTTGGTTTCGAAAGTGAACTCTTGATGACAGCCCAGATTTCCTTCTCTCCTTTTCAGCCTCGAGTGTGCCCAAAATGGCTAGATAAAATAAACAAAATCCTATGAACTTCGAGTATATGCATGCACAGTTCAGCTGTAAGGACAGTGAGTTGCCTTTTATGTCATTCTGATTCCTTGTAGATTACTTTTCCCACTGCCCTTGTTACTGTTCACATTTCCTGGGAATGTACATTTTGACTGATTTATGGCGTTTCAGGTCAAGCTGTCCTTTCCTGCCTGCTGCTAAGAGTTTGTGAAGTTAAATTTCCACTGGGCCACCTGGGGGAGCTCGAGAATCAGTTAGAAGCTCTGAGCAGCTGATCCAAGGATTTCTGGCTGAACTTCAGGAACTCCGAGCACTAAAGACAACGGGGGACCCAGCACTCCTGAAAGGCCTGCACTGACTCCCATTCAGCAGTCTGTTGCTTATGTGGCCCCATTCAGCAGCAGCTTCTCCTCAGGTCTGTTGGGCATTCAGAACCTCAAGCCCCAGCCAGACCTACTTAACCAGAATCTGCATTTGAACAGGACCATCAGGTGGTTCTTAGACACATTAAAGTTTAAGAAGCACTGATAAAGGATAGTTGTCTAAAATGGGAATAATACATATTAGAGATAGAGAAGTCTTTTGACAACAGGAGGAGACTTTACTTAAGAGAAATGAAAGGTAAAACACATTCCTTTTAGAGTCTAGAGGGCCCATTTGCCAGCTACTGTATCTCCCATACCAAAGTTTCCAACCTCCAAAGGCCTAGAAGGTACATCCTGTTCTCGATTACCTCTACTAATGGTGCTTAGCAGAGGCAAGCCAGGATTTGGATGATCAAAATCTCATTTCTCCACTTCAGAATGCATTCTTTGCTGGTTTGCTGGATGTAGTTACTATGTTTCTTTATGGGATCATATTTAAATTACTCACATTCATTCATTCATCACTAACCATCAGAAGGGGAAGCAAACCAAAGCGTGTATAGGGCCAGAAAAGGCAGCCTTAAGGAAAAAAATCTCCAGAAAACGCAGAAAATGAATCACCCATGTTCTAATATGCATGTTGGAGTTTCGAAGAGGCCTCAAAGATCTACTTTAGTAGATCTACTTTAATATCTGCTTTAATACCCTCCTCTTGAAGAAATGGAGGCCCACAGGTAGGTGACTGGCCCAGGATCATACAGTGAGGGGCAGAGGCGGCGCCAGCTTCGAAGTCTCTGTCACAAATACACAAGACAACTGCTTCATAAAGCCTCTTAGATGTCCAGGTTTCCACTTCCTCCAGGCCTCTGCATGAGTCGCTCTCTTCCTCTGCCAGCTGGACCCTGGCCCTCTCCACCTCCCCCTGACTGCCTAACTCTGCTCCTCCTTCGGATCTCATGTGGACATCACTTCCTCCGGGGGGATGTTCCTGACCTCTCCTGGGGGATCGGACGGTATTCCGTTTCCCCACTCGCTGCCCTTGGCCACTTTGCTGTGACTGCCCCACCGCAAAGGCGTGGACGGGGACCACATCAGTCTGCTCGCCACTGTGTTCCCCAGCAACAGGACAACACCTGATGTAAGTATGATTTTAGAACAGCTGAACGGAAGTGGGAGTGACCGGCACCACATCAACACAGAGACACGCACACAAACAATAGGATGTTATTCTTATACCGAAACAATAGCACTGAGATACGCAAAGACCAAAATTTAGAGACACTGACAGTTTCAATAGTAATTTGTGCCAAATGGAATGTGCCTCCATTTTAGCCTTGTAGCCTTGACATCATCCATTTATCAATGACCTGTTAACTTCACAACGAACCAGACGAAGGCTCACATGCTGAGTGCCCCTCACGGCAAAAGCAGGGGGAGGGTGTGGGTGCATTAAAACCGTTTATCTACCAAGCCCACTCTAACCTTCCCTAACCCTCCAGACAGTTCACATCATCTTAAAATCCTTGCAGGCCACCTTTGCTGACCTTTTGAGGGGCAAGCCAAGTAGAATACTCATTAAGGCTCAATTATAAATATCTGCATGTATGGAACACCACATCTGAGGACCACCGAGTTAAAACAGCCTGATCAAACAATAAGCTCACATTCTCAGACACTGGGAACGGATTTTAGATGGATTCACTTATGCAGCTTGGTGGAAGTTCTATTTGAAATTAGAATTTCCCAGTACTGTGGAACTACAGGCAAGGAAAAACAGGGTCCCTCTAAACGTCTTCCCAGAAAAAAGTTCTATCCACGATAGGCCATCAGCAAACACTCAGCTAACAGAGTCGTAAACACTTCATTAATGGCACAGTTACTGAACATGAAATCAATACATAGGGCATCAAATGCTGCATTAAAGCTAGAACAAAGTTTGTGATTTTATGAAAATGACTGACGTGAGGGAAGACAAGGACAGCTCTGATGAGACGTCACATCTACGGTCAGAGTGGTGTGGGACAATGACATCCATAGAATAAAAATGTTTCCCCATTTCCTCTCCTCATCTAATCAAAGAATCACAATTTCTCCTTGTCTCTCTAGTCTACTCCAAACACAATGGTGAAACGCCTGTTATCCAAACAGGCAAGTGTAAGGTATCGCGTTTGGGTAGACCTAACACAAACAATACTAAGTGTGTGAGAAATCCTAGAAGACGTTTTCTTCTCCATGAAAGCCGTGCCAGGAATCGTTTCCCATACTCAATGAAAGACCAGCCACATCAAAAGGCAAAGTGAAAGACCGCCACCGCCCTGTGCACAAACCGCGACACAGCAGCACCAAGCACGCGTCCCAGCAAGGTCGGGAGAGCCCTGGGAGGGAGGCTACGGCAGGAGGCAGCCCAGCAGAGGGGCCAAAAAGGCGGAGGGAGGCAAAGGAACTGCCTGAGGATGGCTTAAAATATGGAAAGGAAAAGTGGGCCTATGACAAGGTGAACTGCGGGAAGACCTATTTGCCAAATTCTGGGATATTAAAAGGGTATCTTTTCAATAAAGAAAACAGTAATACTTTACGTAACCAGAAGGAAACTTAAGAAAACGCATTACCTCAAGGTAAAGCAAAAACTGCAAACCACCCTATCCCTCAAGAAGGCTTCCCGTGGTGGCAAGCTACGCCGTCATACGGGGCCGCCAGGACCGTCGCCCGACCCAGGATGGAGATCACCCTCACTCTTTGTACTTGCTCTTTGGGGAAAAGCTTTTCTTTAAATTCCCACGTCCCGGGGCGCCTGGGTGGCTCAGTCGTTAAGCGTCTGCCTTCGGCTCAGGTCATGATCCCAGGGTCCTGGGATCGAGCCCCGCGTCGGGCTCCCTGCTCGGCGGGAGGCCTGCTCCTCCCTCTCCCTCTCCCTCCCTGAGTAGGCCGCTCTGCCTACTTGTGCTCTCTGTCAAATAAATAAATAAAATCTTAAAACAAATTCCCATGTCCCCATCTTCAGCCTGGAGTGGGACCAGGGGGCTTACACCTGAAAACATACGGCTGTTACTAACACCTACCACAGAAGGCTCTGGTGATGATCACCACTGTTAGAGTGTCATTAGCCTTGCCTAAACCTGCAGCAAAACAGTCTGTCTGGGTTATAAAGAAAGGAGGCCGCATAACACCTTATAAATGATAGATGGCCTTAGCCACAGTAGCTCCTTTGCTCTCCACCACAATCCTACGTAGAAATTCCTATTAGAGCCATTTTTATTACGGATAGGGAAATGAAAACTCCAATGTTGAGACTTGCGCTGTGCTGCGGGGTGAGCCAGCCTCGGAGCTGCAACCCAGAGCGGAGCCCAGGGCTCTGCGTCCTCAAGACCAGCCTGCCAGTCCCCCAGGAGCCTGCTTGCAGGGGCACGGCGTGGGTGTTCTGGGCCGGGGAGGCCTCTGGGAGGGGGCCACGCGGTGAGGAGACACTAAGCCGGCAACTCTGCGCGATACTCAGGCTCCGGTCCTCACTCTCCAAAACCACCGCCCACCACCTCAGAACCGCAAAACCAGTTTTCCACGTTGCTCTTCAAAGGCAGAAATGGAGGAAACGGTTGTGGTAGCAAATGAGTACTTTTCCAAGGCCTGCTGTCCTAAACCATCTGCTCTGGAAAATTCAAATGAGGACCAAATGGAGAGTTATCCCCTCCTGTGCTTCGCCCTCCTGATTAAAGAGAAGACAACAGATCCACTGAATTCCTTATGCAAGAATTTATGAACCCAGGTTGGCCACTGCAGTTTTATTTTTCTGTTACTTATGCATTACTTTCAACCTGGCAGACAGAACATATATAATTTTTAAAGGTACTGGGTACTTACTTATCGAAGGATTGTAACCTGTGGGTTTGGCAGTGTATTCAAAACAGGCCTTCACCTTGAGGCTGTACAAAGTCAAACACATATTCCTTAAAAGATGCACTGCTGTAGTAGGGAAAAAAAAAACAAACAAACCACTCCATGGTCCCCAGGTCTAAAATCCCCCCACTGCCCACGGATGAGCAACATGTGGTACGTTCACTGGACAGATTCCCTGTCCCCTTACTGTTGCCTGCAGCTCCTCAGAGCGACAGGGCTACCCTACAGCAGGGCTATGAGAGCTCTCACCATATCCCGCTGGGCGCCCCACAGAATGTTTTCTGGCGGAGATCAATCGTGCTTGGTGTCACGGTGACCGTTTTCTGAATATTAATCACAGGCCGGGATCTGAAATCAAAGGAGTAAAACACAGGCTCATCCTTCTGCTACCTTCAGTGTGAGATGAATCCACATGCGATCAGCCGCCTACTATATCTTAAAAACCACAGAGGGGAAAAACGTTCCCCCATTTCTAAAGAAAAGAACGGTTAGGGGGCGCCTGGGTGGCTCAGTCGTTAAGCGTCTGCCTTCAGCTCAGGTCATGATCCCAGGGTCCTGGGATCGAGTCCCACATCGGGCTCCCTGCTCAGCGGGAAGCCTGCTTCTCCCTCTCCCACTCCCCCTGCTTGTGTTCCTGCTCTCGCTGTCTCTCTGTCAAATAAATAAATAAAATCTTTAAAAAAAAAAAAAAAAAAAAGAACGGTTAGCAGATACCATTTAAAACCCGATGATACAAATTTTACCCAAACATTTTAAATAATAACATTTATTTCTAATTATAAAGTGTTTTGTCATCTTAACAGAAGTTTTTAAATGGAAAGGAACATGGGCAATTTGCAAAAGTTCTAGAGTTTTCAGGCAAATATTATGGCTCTGTCCCCACCCAAACCCCCAAGTAGCCTGGTATGTCCTTCCAGACACCGCTCAGTGCCGCTTTTCCCCACTGACAGTTCAGTGGCCTTCTCCTGCCTCTCCACAGATCTAGTTCCCTGTCTCTCAGGCTGGTGGTTCTGCTCTGCCCCCACGCAACAGCACGGATTCAACCAGTCCCTGGCGGGTAGATGCTTACACTGTTTCTAGGCTCGCAGCTCTGACAAACCTCCTTGGACACGTTTCTAGGCACACATGTGCATTTCCCTGTAGGATAAACTCCTAGCAGAACTTCAGAGTTGAAGAATGTGTGCATGTTTAATTAGGAGTAATCTTGCCAAAATGCCTTCCAAAAAGGTTAAAAACCCACATACACCTACTACCAGGGATGTTCACTATCAGGATTTCTACATACACATGAATTTTAGGAATACAGGCAAACCTGAGCTAACAGGGCTCCATCCTACAAACATTTGCCCTTCCTTGGAACCTCCTGCCGGCAGAAGGGACTATAACTTTTCCACCCCCACGGGATCTCCGTAAGCAAACGCTTCACGCCCTCCGCCTTTCCCGTCTCTGCTCTGCCTAACCCCAGCCTCGCAAACACACGCAAGCAGCTGGAATCCCACACCTTTGGCCCTTCTCACCATACAAAAACATCTCTGCTCTCTCTTCCAGCTTTTCCCCTACCTCCCACAGCCAAAGGTGTCGCCACCAGCCTAGGTCCTGACCTCCGCCACAGGTACAACAAATCCAAGGATATGGTGCAAGTGGGATGGGGAGAGAGGCCCCTCTCATCCGGGTCACTCCCCAGCCAGAACTCAGAATGGGTTCCATGGTTTCATTACCACATGGATCCAGTTAGACTGACTTTAGTGGGCTTCTGGTAACCCAGCCATCCTGGGGAAGATAGGAAAATGCATTCGAAATCCCAGACAGCGAGCTGGAACTTCTGGAATCAGTCTGTCGAGAGGCTAGAGAAGACACGGGTACGTTCATGGGCAAGGTGCGAGCCTGTAGGACAAATGCTGCCCACATTCCTGTTTCTACATTTCCTTCTATCTCAATTGTTTACCTTTCTATTGTTATTTTAGACAGCTGCTAGTTTCTAAGATACTAACCAGATACATTCCTAATTAAAGTTTTGAGAGCATATTTAAGAGGCAAAAATCCACACAAATATCTTAAAACCAATTGCTAGAGATGCAAGAATGTTTTATATATCATAGTATTAAGGCCTTAACGTGACATAGATATCAGAAGGAAATAATACACACTTCTGCCTAAAACATTTTTATTTGTTTTTTATTTAAAATCCTTTTGTTTTTTTAGTAATCTCTACACCCATCCCAGGACTCAAACTCAAGACCCTGAGATCAAGAGTCACATGCTCTTCCAACCGAGCAAGCCAGGCACCCCTTATTTCTGCTTTTTTAAACTTAACAACAAATGCAATTTTGAGTTCACAGTACATTATGAATCAGGAAAAATGTGCCTTAACACATAAAGCAAATCTTACTGGTTCAGCTACCTCTTGTTTGATTAGCATGTATTTATGAACTACCCTGAAGTACTAATATGATTTAGTGGGAAAAATGCCCGGACGCTGAGATCCTGTGCTCCCAGGATCCAGCCTCCAAAGCTTAAGCAGTCCTGGGCCTCCCTTTCCTCATTTGTAAAACAAGGGAATTGGTTCTCCTTTTTTTAATGAAAGCATTTTAAAATTTACTTTTGTGCTGTCTCTGAGGAAAGAAGGAACAAGTTCACAGGGTTCATACTCAACCTACTTATTAGGACAGGAAAATAATATTTTAATATATACCAGCTATATTCAGAAGCAAATATTTAACTCACTAAAAATAGGCTATGTGCTGAGAAAACATGGTAACCAAATTTTGGTACAGGAAGTCAAGTCTTCTTGATACCTGAGGGCTATACCTCAACTAGAAGTGCAAACTGCATTTTGATGAATATTCTATATTCTTTCACCTTTTAAAAACACAATATTTTAAGGGGTGTCTGGGTGGCACAATCCGTTAAGCATCCAACTCTTGGTTTTGGCTCGGGTCATGACCTCAGGGTCGTGGAATCGAGCCCCATGATGGGCTCCACGTTCAGCACAGAGTCTACTTGAGATTCTCTCCCTGTCCCTCTGCCCCTCCTGCTTGTGCTTGTGTGTGTGCTCTCCCCAAAATAAATAAATCTTAATAAATAAACATTGAATATTTTAAGATTAATACCTATATGAACAAAGAGAAACAGGCATATAAAGGTAGTGTTTGAGAACCACCAGACAGAACACAGGCTGAACGCTTTAACCTCAGATGGCACACAGAACCACACATGGCGTCTCCAGTGTGACAGCTCAGAAGGTCACTGGGTTCCTAGGACAGATACGTATCACCACCAACACAAACCACTACTGATCTATCCATGTTTTCCCAAGGTCTCTCGTTTCTCAGTCACGTACACACAGTTCATTTAATTTTTTTTTAACTTCCTTTTTCCTCACTAACGTCTCAGATACACCCTTCTCCACCTCTTTTCACGTCTCCTACTCTTGTCACCTGTAACTTCTGTGGTGGTTCTTCGTTTTCCCATGAAATGGCTTTCATAGATCTTGCCATCTAACCAGAAAACTTTTTCTATGATATCCTACGCTACATTCTCTCTATATATATACTGTATACTTTTTTTTTTAAAGATTTTATTTATTTATTTGAGAGAGAGAATGAGAGACAGAGAGCACGAGAGGGAAGAGGGCAGAGGGAGAAGCAGACCCCCTGCTGAGCAGGGAGCCCGATGCGGGACTCGATCCCGGGACTCCACAATCATGACCCGAGCCGAAGGCAGTCCCTTAACCAACTGAGCCACCCACGCGCCCCTGTATACTTTTTTTTTTTTTATATTATTCTCTTCAGAAGTGTCCTCCTGGCGTCAGTTTCTTACAAGACTCAGGGGTTTGGCTTAGGATTATATTTTAGATGTTGAGGCTACATCTCTACCTGATACTCTTCTGGAAGTCTGCAGGGCAATGGTGGGGGTTTTTTTCCCCTTTAGGGTTTCACTGTACATTAACAACCATTTAAAATATTTTTAAAGAGGGGCGCCTGAGTGGCTCAGTCGATTAAGTGTCTGCCTTCCTGGTCCTGGGATCAAGCCCCGCATCGGGCTCCCTGCTCAGTGGGAAGCCTGCTTCTCCCTCTCACTTTCCCCCTCCCCCCTGCTAGTGCTTTCTCTCACTCCTGCTCTCTCAAATAAATAAAATCTTTACAAAAATAAAATAAATAATATATCTTTAAAGATAGTCTTTAAGATAAAAATAAATGTTTTATAATTATGTAAAATATTCACCTGATAAAAAAATCAACCTATAAAAATAATATCTAACCAAATTAGTCTAGCTGATATCTCTGTCTTGTCCAATTTATTCACTACCATTCCCTATGAGTAACTATATATGTATACTGTTTGTATTGTAACTATCCATTAAAATTTATTGAGATTGGGTTTCTAAAAATATTTGCAATATTTCAGGTACATTTGAAAGAAAATATAATTTTTATTATGATGGTTTACAGTTTGATATGTACTTACATTCTCTATTTTATTGGTTATATTTTTAGGTCTTTTTATTCTTGCTATTTTTGTCCTTTTGATCTGTCTTGAATTACAAAAGGTATATTAAAATAGTCTCTCTTCACATAAAAAAAAAAACTGTAAAGTCAAATAGTTAAAAAAAAAAAAGAAAAAGAAAAAAAGATAAACCCAAATGGTTAATTCTAACAATCCAAGAAATGCAAATTCAGCAAAATGGGGTCACAGAGCACATGGGCAAAAAGCGAATAGATTGATCATGTTCGATGCTGTTCAGGATGTGAGGAAATAGGCTTTCTCACAGCTTGCTGCCATGAGAATAAACTGTCACGACCTCTCTGTAGATACCTGTATTAATACAAAAATGTGCTTACCTGTATCCCAGGAATTCTATTTCTAGGAATTTTTCTTAAGAAAAAAAAAACAACCACACAGAGATGTATAATATTCTGTAGCACATTATTTACATTAGCTAAAGGTCAGAGACTAAAAATTCTATCAATTGAAGATTAAATGCATATAATGGAATAATATCTTGTTAGAAAAAATAAGATGGATGTGTCTATACTGACAAAGAGAGATAACCAAGAGAGATTAGATTTTTAAGAACCAGGCTAGAGAAGAGCGGTTGAGAATGGCTCTTTGATGATGCCCTTGAAGCAGAAAGATACCCAAAGCTATCCGAAGTTGTTCTGTGGAATTTGGGAATATTGGGGAACTTGCATTCTCCACAATTATGTATTAAAACTTTTTTACAAGAATGTGCTATTTTTAAAATTAAAAATGAAATAAATGATGTTAAATGGTGATTCCCGGCAGTGATGAAATTTGCTAGGAAAAAGGGGACTCACGCAAAGCTGATGGGCAAACCGAGGCAGCCTTTCTGGAGGTCATTTTGGTGACTCTGAATCTAAAGTCTGAAAACACATATGCCCTTCCACTCAGCAAATTCACTTTTAGGAATTTATCATGAGGAAATAATTCAGGACATGAACAAAAGTAAGGATGTCTGCCAGCCTATCATGAAAAAAACAAAACGAACAAACCTGGAAAGGAACATAAATATCCAAGGACGGTGTGGCGATGGGTTAAATAAACTAGACCCAGCCATATGGCACCTTACAGGCAGCCATTAACTTCATCTCAGAAAAGTGCTCGAGGATAGGGAAAAAGCCCCCATGTGCTATAAACTCACTGACATGAGGAACGTTCACCAGGCATTACAAAACAAACAAAAGCAGATCACAAAACAATATGTACATTGTGAGCTCAGTTTTGTTAAATACACATGTGCATTCACAGAACACAAAAGACTAAAAGGATATAGACCAAAATTTTGGAGCTAATGAATAGGGAAAGACAGGGGATTCTCATTTCCTTCCTTATATTCTTTGTACTGTCAAATTTTGTGTTTCCTCTTTTATCAAAACATAAGGTTTTAAAAGTACCTATGAAGTACACATTTTCACCAGTTCTGATTTTTTCTCAATTCAAAATTAGTAAGGCATTACAAAATAGGTTTTTATCACATTGTTATACCACTCTTAAAAGAAAAATCTTCAAAATCCATATAAACCTTTGACTTTGAAATATAGGTATTATGATTTTCAGTTAAAAAGATCAAAATCTGAATGGAACCTGAATACTGAACATACTTAACTGAAGTCAGAGATCACACACCTGAACACAGCTACTGAGTCTGAGAGGGAACCAACAGCAACATCAGGGTAGGAATTTCTATCAAGGTCCATATTTCCAGCAATTGAATATCCAAAATAAGGGGATTTACCCTCAAGAATCTGAAATGAACAGGGCATCAGAATGAACAATGGGCCACCAAAATGAGCTTCTCGATGCCTTGAAAAAGCCTCATGCTTCCACATAAACTGAAGCTCAAGAGTTTACTTATAAATTATACTAAATTATATGTACACATATGCTCCAACACTTCATACATTTCATAGAAGTCATCTGATTTACATTCTATCTCAAAGGATACAAGGGCCAATTTTTGATGAGTTTCTTTACTATATACCAAACCTCTCTACCTGCCCTCCAAATGTCTTATTTTCCTCAAAAGCAATTTTTAATTTTTGGCATCTCAATCCTCCATGTAATCATAATCATCTATTTCATTTGCCCCATTTTGCCTCCAGTTATTATGCTACTAAAGGAAAGATCTCACATTTCCATCTATTTATGCTGTCTGGGTAAAATTGTCTTTTCCTTTGGATTACTCTGATTCCTAATTTATCTAAGAAATTTTACAAATAAACGCAACGATGTGCTTATTTTAAATCTGTTTTCAAGCTATCTTTTAATAGTACATTTTTTAAAAACCCACAAATCTATTATAGATTTGTAAATCAAGCATGAGTAGCGTGCAAATGCACATAAACCCAAATATCCTATTACAAGGCAAAAAGCTGAGACCCTTATTGTAGAAACCCAGGCTGTTTGGTTACCTGTGTTGGCTTGGTATTTATTCCATTCGGGGATCCGTGATAGATAAAAACCTTTCCCTTATCATCATAGGGAGCTCCAACTGCAATATCTGTGGACAACATCACATTTCAACAAACACTACATTTTTAAAACGTTCCAATACGACGTTTCATAATAAGATGCCATAAGCATTCATTATTTTAGACAATCAATCTGCCAATGAGCATCATAACTATCTCACAATCTATTACCTACCTGGGTAGCCATCTTGATTAATATCGCCGATATTTTTTACTGCAATGCCAAACATAGAATCTTTGGTTCCGTTAAGACGAATTGGCTTGACTTTATTCCACCTGCCTTGCTGGTTAATGTAAACATACACGGCACCTCCAACTTCTCCATCTCTATCAAAATACTGTGGGGCTCCAATAATTATATCTTGCCACCTAAAAACATAACGAGGGATAAAACTGAACCATCAGCTAAAATACCAGCAAGCTCACAGAGAATGCCATCAGCCCAGGTACTAAGGACACAGAGACAGGATGCAGAAAGGAACTCAAATCTGGAATTGACTTCTCATCCATTAAAACATTTTTGTAGGTGTGTTTATGTAATGTTTAGATAATGTAATGTTTAGGCATGTAAGTGTTTATGTTTAGGTAAAACGTTTTACACAGTAGCCTACAATAAATGCCCAGAGGAAGATATCAACGGTAAGAACCTGAAGACAGTCCCCAAGTTAGAACGAGAGTGCACAGACTCTGCTCCCCTCCACCTGCCACCCAAACTGGCACCACCAGACATAACTATTACTTTGTCACCGATCCCTATTTTTAAAAGGACATTCTGGGGGCGCCTGGGTGGCTCAGTCAGTTAATTGGCTGCCTTTGGCTCAGGTCATGATCCCAGGGTCCTGGGATCGAGTCCCGCATCGGGCTCCCTGCTCAGCGGGGAGCCTGCTTCTCCATCTCCCTCTCCCTCTGCCTGCCGCTCCCCCTGCTTGTGCTTTCTCTCCCTCACTATCTCGCTCTCTCTGTGTCAAATAAATAAATAAAATCTAAAGAAAAGAAAAAAAAAAAAAAGGACATTCTGGATGCTCAGTCCCTTAAGAAGCACAGAAGAACCACATAGGTGTCATTTTTCGAGTTAATGTTTTTCCATACGTTAATTCTCACAGACCCATGATCCCAAAACATGAGTAAAAATTGAAAATGTGAATTACCTGAGGAGGGTTATGAACGTCTGCTGCCAAAATACAAGGGATAAAGATGTGGCAGCAAAAATATTCTTTGGGTCAACTAACCTGAAAGGATGGCTCTTCTCAAGACTGAAAGATGCCCAAGAACCAACGATTTCTTGGCGGATATAATAAAGTAACCGAAGAGGCTCTTACCCATCACCATTAAGGTCCGCCACTGCCACGTCATAACCGAAGGAAGAAGCCAGACCTTCCCCATCAAAGATGTACTCAGGGAGGAGATGTGCAGACTTCGTGTCCCTTTTTAGCAAAACCACAGCTCCACTGTGATTGGCTCTTGGAGCGCCAGACACGAAAGTGAGCTCATCTTTAGAAACAATACCTTTTCCTGAGTCCAGAGAAAAGCCTAGAAAAAAATAATAGTGCACGTCACCCTGTATTTCAGGAGTATCTAACACGGTAACTTTTCTAACATCACTACCTTTGCCTCTGGCTTCCCACCCCTCTCCTTCAGGGCCTCTCTAGCAGCTCTCGTATTTACAACACGGAAGAGTCTGACCCAAGTCCAAGGCAGTAGGCTAGGTCGTGGCTTTCTACGGAAACATACGAAGACTTTTGAAGGAAAGCACCCATGTTACTTAGCATAGGTCTAACTTGAATCATGCATCTCAAGCTGTTCGTACTCCATTTTAATACAGGAACTGTGGTAAAAGGAGTTCAAGCTAGATCCTAAGTTATCACTGGAAACTACACACAGAGATACAGCCAGACACAACATACCTGAGTGCATGTTACAGAGTTCTGCTACAACGTACCGATTAGTAACTTCCACACTCATCAGTCTCCTTGGTAATACAAACGCTTAACACCATTCATGTATCACAGACAGCATCAGGACTGGGGACCAACTTAATTCTCAGACACAAACATGCAAACAAGACCATGACTGGTGAGACAGAGTATTTGAGAACCTAGTATAAACAATAGAGGTGAGCAAGTTGTCACTGATGACAATTACATACTTGTTCAGAGGGCAGAAAATGTTAGACGCCTAATTATAAAGCATCAGCTGGGGTGTCAGATAACAGACTGAGATCTGGCAGCAAGTGAACATAAATGCCTACGTCAGAACCACTCAGATTAAGCACATCTTGCTCTAGAAAGGTGAGGCAGATGCAGAATAGGGTAAGCTCACCCTTTTTATTCTGATTTATAAAAAGCTTCACCACTACTGTTGCAGTTCTCAAACTGTGAAAGTGAGTTGCAAAATATGATGAGCTCCCAGTTTAGAATAGGTGATGTAACTAAATCCAGCTCTGAAAACCATCTGGCAGCAGAGCCTCAACCATGGCATGCTTTTCATGTGTGCTTCACTTGAAATGAAATAGAAAAGAAAAAAGATTTATGCTCTGTATGGATCCAAAAAAAAATTTTTTTTTTTTTTAATGACCATGACCAAGACAATTGATTTGTCATCTGAGGTCACAAACCTAGGTAGCTATTCATCATCACATCAGGGGATGTGCCGGGCTGCTCCCTGGGAGGCTGTGTTTTATAAACAAACTGATCAGGATCTGTGTAGGAAACGCTGGTCAAAAACAGCAGGCCTGGACACATGCGCGGGATGGAAGAGATCGAAGAGAAGGCAATTAGGCTTCGTAAGAGGTACGAGGAGGCCACCACCGCATCTGGCGAGCCAGCCTCCTCGCCAGCTTCCGAAACCTCAAGCAGATCATTTTCTTCCTCAAGCCCACTATGTTTTGAAACGACAGATCCACAGACAGCATGGACAACAAAAACGTAACAATACAAGGCATCTGCTTTCGAGGCAATCCATTCTTAAAAGGGGCAAATGTGTTTAATAAAAAATGCTGAATCTTTTCGAATGCTCCAAGAACAGCTATGTTTCTAAAATCCACAGGCATCTATCTTAGAGACTGAAGTGTTGGGGTTCCTGACCATTATATGGAATTTCCATTTACAAATACTTCTCATCATAAATAACCCCTAAATGACATATCTGATGAGAGGCTGCCTGTTAAAATATGTTCAAATAAAATGCAGGTGTATGAATGGTATTCAGCCTGAAAAGCCATACTGAGACTGTGAACGGCTGGCGTCTGCGTCCCACCCGTCCTGCAAAGCCACTGACCCAGCACTCACAGCCAGCCGCTTCCCACCCTGCCTCGTTTTCATGAGCCTTTCTTTCCTTGGCTGAGGGATGAGCAATTGTGTGACCTTGGCCTAGGAAATTAATTTCCCCAGGTCGTATTTTTTTTCATTAGCAAAAGAGGGATGATCATACTGATTTTATAACATTGTTGGGAAGATCAGGTAAGACATGAATAGCAGTAAATACAGCACATGGTTGGCACTTAACAAGTTTAACTTTTCTCTGCCCTCTCCTAAGCCTTCACACCAGATTTTTAATTTGGAGGGAGAGGGAGTGTCTGAAAAGTTGTGTCTTTTTTTTTTTTAATTAACAGTACCATTCATGCATATCTATATAATTAGAACATTTTAAGAATATGCTTACTAACACGTCGTTTAGAATTATTGTTATGTTTTTACTTTTACCTTCCATTGTTCCAGTAACATCTCTAGCACAGGGGTACTTTAAAAAAAAAATAGGTTACTATTTAGGTTTAGGAGATTTTTTACATTTTTTTCCAAGAAATGCACAGTAATTATTCTTTATGTCAACTCATACCAAGAATTAAAGCTCTTAAAAGCCTTTGTGTAATTACCATAATGCACATGAATCATTTAGGACACCCATTAGTAATGCAAACGAGCCTTAGGAGTTAGGGAATTGGCACTTAGACACAATCTGGGGGTCCTCCAAGCTGCTCTAGCAGTCCTGCTCAGCCTCTGCTGGAAAGCCACTGCGCCACCCGCCAGGGGCCCTGTGACAGGGGGGCCCCAGTCCAGAAGCAGAGCCGACCCTTGCAGAAGAGCAGTCACGAAGGAAGGACCTGGAGGTCTTGACCTGCCACTTCAGAGTAACTTCATGAATGTAGCTCTTAAGAGTATCTCTAGAAAGAGGCACTGGAGGGAGAGAGGAGGCAGCTCAGCTTATTGCTGACATCCATGCATTTCCCCTCCCCCGGCTGCACCAACGCCTGTTTTTGGTTACAGAGGCCGATGCTAGCTCAAGACACAGACTTCCACTCGGGACAATTTTAGGAGACAGTGAGTTTCCTCCCGCCCTGCAGGAGCCCAGGTCAGAAGGGAAGGGTGCCAAGCATCAGCCAGGTTACCTCAGGATCACCAAAGCTTAAATCCAATTCCCATCAATGCAGCCACAGGCCCCTGGCTCCACCTGGCCTATTCTCATCCTCGAGGTCCAGGGTGGGTCCTGGGAGGACAGGGTCGCACTGAGGCATCCAGAAAGGCAGGCATGCCTGCTGCACTCTTTCCTACCTAAGTAACTGTTAGCGGGAACAGGAACCAGACTTTCGTCATGGTCAGTCTCTCCACCAACTTCATAAGGCCCATCTTCAAAGATGTTCATGTCAAAAAAAGTGTTATTCTTTTGCTCTACGCGAACGATGCCTAAAGAAATGAAATGGCAAAAAACAACAAAAAAAACATGAAGATGGAACAAAATAAAAGAGATGGTTCCTAATAAACATGCCTCATGTTAGCACCATAAGGACAGGAAGAAGAGTCTGGAGAAAGAAGGGCAAAGGAAAGAGAGAGCTTTTGAAGTTATTACAGTTAAAAAATCATGTTATGTGAATTTTCTTAAAGAAATTTGTTCTAGTAATAAAAAAAGATGGCCCGTGCATTTTTAGGAATTCTCTCTATAATGCCACAAAACCAGATGGAAAACAAAATGTTTACTTCATTAACTAAATCTACAGAAAGTAACTCTTTAGACATTATATGAGCCTGATGTATTTTACACGGTCTGTCATCCTAGATCAATTTACCTACTTTGCCAGAGAGTAAAAGTGAAATGTTTTGATCCTTTCTTCAAATCACTTGAACCAAGATTTCATCTTTCTAAAACTTTCACAATTAACAATTAAAAAGAGAAGATTTCATATAGTAAGCCCACTATGTGACTTTTTAAAAATGGTAACATTTTGAATCAGGGTTTATAAAGCAGATAAGAGATGTTTCCTGTAAATACATACACACATACCTGGTGGGTGTTTTTGTTGTCTTACTATATATGGCGTCTACTCTTGTTATAATAAAACTATTTCTAAATTCAGTGTGTTATTTGGATTAGGTCAATATAACCGGACAAATACAGTTATGTTGGGGGTGGGGAGGCCAAAGGAAATTCCTCCCAAAGGTTACTACGGATGACATAAAGAGGAAGGTGTTCCTCAAGGATTGTTTCTAATAGGTATTCAAACTTGGGAGATTTTTTGAATGCAAAAGGGAAATTTTTCCTAAGTTTGTCTTAACTAGAGAAAATGTTATAACATAGCATTTATTTTAATAGATTTCTCAAAAAAATGTCTGATGTCTAAATCCTATGCATTTCTCTTCATTATGCATTAGAGTTAAGCTAATTGTCCTTTATAATATAGTGGTTTTCTTTGCCTGCCTAATTTCTTCAGAGAAGTTAAACTTGATTACAGGAGCTGACCAGGTTCGCCCAGTCAAACTGAGGGCCCTTCTCCCCCCTCCCTCCCAGTGCCTCCTTTTACCTACATCACAATCATAATTAAACGATACCACTAAACAACTTTCCCATAAATTGTCTACAATTATCATCTCAAAATTCCCTAATTTGTCATCTACCCTTCTAACTTTTCTGCTTTATTAGCAAAACACAGCCTCTTAAGATAATATATAATGGAAAAAATGTCTGTATTAATACACTGTTACTTGTACATGACACCACTCAATTATTTGGTTTTAAGATTACTACCTTAAATGAAATGTTTGCCAACATTAAAACTTAAAACACTTGCAGCCTCAAGAAACAGGAAAATACAAAACAGAAAAAACTACAGAAGTTAATTATTATATTCTTAGCGAAAAAAGTTAACTACTCGTATTAATGTAAGTTGCTGGTAGAAGAGGAAAAAACATCTTCAAATATACATTTCCACCACTGTTTTTGAAATCATATAATTGAGAGATTGTAATATCCTACCTTACTTCTATAATATACAAGTGCCTTATAACACATTTTGTTTTAACTTAAAACATAATCATGGTGCATGTAAGAGAAATTATGTAGTCATTCTGAACTCTATTGCTATAAATACACGTCCTACCTTTCCAGTTATAAGTGCCCGGGGCTCCAAACACAATGTAATGAAAGTCTTTAGTAAAAGTAGCTGCTACTCCTTGCTGGCAAGAACCAAATTTTTCATGGCCTCTCAATCGGCCATCACAAAAACTCCAGTCTCCTCCATCCATGTCATCCTCAATCCTCAGATTCTGACTCAGGACGTAGCACCTTCCAAAGATATCTCGGGATTCCTGCTTCGTATTGACATGTTGCCTTTTTTCATATCGGTGAGCACATGTCTGCAAACAGATGGAATAAAGTAGCCCATTCATTTCTACAAACCTTATGTGTATTGTTGATCATTTAATCAATTTGTAATAAAGAGAGATTAATTCTAAAGGGAATGTTAAACATGTCCTCATCCTGGGATGGGATCCAAAACCAGCAATTGTTCCCCAAAGTGGCACTAAGGAGAGCATCATCTAGCATAAAGGAACTAGGACTTGTCTTATTCTCACCTGGAGGATAATGCTCCAGTCCAAATACCGAATGCCAATCTGTAATCCACAGGCAATTTATTTGTAAATTTACCTGTCACATAAGCAATAGGAAATATCTTCTCTCATTTTCTTAATTTAATTGGCCTTTATTGGCTGTATAAACTTTCACATCAGTATGTTTGTGAAAATTTGTAATTATGTTCCAGGGGAGAGAAATCATGGACATATTTTCATAGGATCAGGCAAACACAGCTAAAACAAAAACATTTCCCTTTTACCCACACTATTTCCTTATAATCAGCCCTAACTTGTACTCTAAGCTATTTTAAAAGGCAGAGAGAATTACACTGCCAGAAAAGATGAAATAATCTCTATAATTTTACAAGGTATTCATGGTTACCCTCCATGTAACACAGGCTAAATAGACTTTATGATATCCAAGTTGATTTCCTATAATGATGATCCCTTAATTATCAAAATTCAGGGTTCAGTAAAATTCTCATTTTTTTTTTCCAAAATCCTGTATCAATTTGTCAGAGCAACTAGATTTTGAAAGAGACACAGAGAGAGCATCGTAATCCAGCCTGGAAGGCATTTCTGAGGCCACCTCCCACAGTCCACCTAACAAACCCCTTCCCTTCACTGCTACTTGTATTTGAAGACGTTCAGAACAAACAACCAGAGTTTTAAATTACCTGTTCTTTCCTTGGCTATTCCCATATTTTTTAGAACTCATCTAAAAAAGCCACATGGTTCCTGGGACATAAACCACGTCTAGTTTTGTTCTGCATTCTAAAGACCGTCTAGCGTTTTAGGGATATTCAGTGAACGTTTATTAGTAAGTTCCTTGAGTCTGAAAGTTCTAAAGAAAAGCAGGTTTTATGACTATTTCAAAGTATATCAGAAATCACAGAGGGGCGCCTGGGTGGCTCAGTCAGTTACGCATCCAACTCTTGGTTTCAGCTCAGGTCATGATCTCAGGATCACAGGATGGAGCCCTGCGTCAGGCTCCATGCTCAGTGTGGAATCTGCTTGAGATTCTCTCTCCTTCTCCCTCTACCTTGCTCTCCCTCTCTCAAATAAATAAATAAATAAAACTTTAGAAATCACAGAAAAAATAATGCCTTGATTTCTTCTTGACATCAATTCCTGCTGTAAAGCAGTGAGTCTTCTGGAATGTCCCCTGTGCGGGCAGGCGCTCTGCCTGCCTTGTTCGCCTCTGTCAGCCTGGCGCCAACCCATGACAGGCACTCAGACATTGTGGAATGGGTGCGCTTCTCCACACTTACCACAACTTTGCCCCCTGGACCTTGGCTCTGCACGGTGACCCCCATCCACTGATCTTCCTTGCTTTCTGATGAAGGGTCAGCTGTGGAAAGCAGTGCAGGTTACTCACACACAGTTAGGACTTCAAAGTGACTGAAGCAGGCAATGAAGCGAGAGATGAACACAAATACAAGCTGGTTTCTAAACTGCCTAGATTCCAAGTTACTCAATCCAGAAAAATTATTTCTCCTTCTAAGAAAACAGGTAAGTGGTTATTGGTAAGAACCTTCTTAAAATTCTTTACATAAAATAAATAGCTTTACCTGGTGGCCCTACACTCTTGCTGACAACCAGGATCCTGAGTACAAAAAGCTATTTGAAAATTATAAGACTCAGGAGTAGCTTCCAACATATGCGTCTTAAAGCAGTGATGTGAACATCCAGTCTCCAAACTCCAGCTACCATCCAAACTAACGAGAAGTCGGCACTTCTCTACATAGTCCTAAATTTGTTATATAACAGCATGAACTCTTCTTTTCTTTCTTGGAGAAGACAAGACAAGGCCTCAGATTCATTATCAATGCCAAGAAGGAAAGCAACATATTTAGTTTTTACCTCCCCCCCCCGAAAAAAAAGAGAAACCACAAACACCATCATGTATGTGTTCATTTCAGTATCAATCTGAACCTACTGTATGACCCTGTATTAAAATTTTTGCCTTCCTCAATGAGAAGGCAGGCATGATTTTTTTAATCTTGAATCATTGCAAAAATGTGAAAACTAAACAAGTTTAAGTGGAGAGAAGCCAAAATGCCAAAATGTTAAAGAGTGATTATGTCTAGATTACCCATGGGTTTTTGGGTTTTTCTTTATATAGGTCGGTGTCTTTTGTAACTTTCCCACAATTAACATATATCATTTTCTAATCAGTAAAGGAAAAAAAAACCAAATGTCATTTCTAAAAGATGAAAAAGAGAACAATATCAACGTGAATTTGCAAATCTACTTAGACCAAGGATGTCAAATCTGCTCCCCTGGAGCTTCTCAGCACACTAACTGCTCGGCTCAGCAGAGATCCCTCACAAAACAAGCCTCTATCTGAGCCAGAAGGGCAAAATTAGCCATGATGGTCAGCTCTCACTTCAGAGAGATCTGATATTTAAAACAGTCTTTCTCTCAAATATTTTAACAGCAAGCGAGCACTTCTGGCAGCCAAGTACAAGCTATGCACAATTTTCTTTGCCGCCCTGAATTCAGTTTTCCAACAGCCTCGTGTAGAACCTCAGCGCAGCACTAGGCGGCGACATCAACACACCATAGCCTTTTAGAAAGCAAGATCAGGAAGGGCTGCAATTCGGTGTGCATCCCAGCATCATTTAAAAAGTAGATGTTTTCAGGGCAAACAAGAAACAGTCAAGACATGTAATTAGAAGCGGCCCTCTCTCCAAGAACAAAGGCTTGGACCCCTTTCCCTCCTCATGGAAAAGGCAAGTGGGGTACAGGCGAGCTGGTCAAGTGGACAGAGTGAGGACAGAAGAACACACCGTCGTTATCAAATTCAATCCGTGTGCAAGGCCCGGGGGAGGTGATGTCACAGCTGTACAAGCCGCCTGTTCTGTTGGCCCTCTGCAGTGGAAGGGCCACCGCCCGAGGGGCCCCCACGAGCAACCTGTTGACAAAACAGAAAATTTGGAGAGTTGAGTTTAACAAACACAATTAACATTTCAATTAGAACCATGATGTTCAGATGTCGGGATCATTGGTGGTCAAGAGTTCCCAGATGCCCCGCTGGCTTAGGCACTGGGGACAGTGGAGTCCTGCGGCTGGCCCGTGCAACACGCACGCACGCACAGCTAGGCAAGTCAAGCCCGGAAAGGGGTTGTTGAAACAACGTGAAAAGTATGCCATCTCTCGGGGCGCCTGGGTGGCTCAGTCGTTAAGCGTCTGCCTTCGGCTCAGGTCGTGGTCCGGGACCCTGGGATCGAGCCCCGCATCGGGCTCCCTGCCCCGTGGGAAGCCTGCTTCTCCCTCTCCTACTCCCCCTGCTTGTGTTCCCTCTCTCGCTGTGTCTCTCTCTGTCGGAAAAATAAATAAAATCTTTAAAAAAAAAAAAAAAGTATGCCCTCTCTCATAGTATCAGCACCTCTCTGAGTAGGATTCTGGTGTTTTAAAAGACACACTTTATAGAACATGACCCCTAGGGGGAGGGAGGTGGGAGGATGGGTTGGCCTGGTGGTGGGTATTGAGGAGGGCACGTTCTGCATGGAGCACTGGGTCTTATGCACAAACAATGAATCATGGAACACTACATCTAAAACTAATGATGTAATGTATGGGGATTAACATAAGAATAATAAAAAAAAAAGAACATGACCCCTAAAGCTAAGCCAAGGACATACGGAACTCAACAAACACTGGAGGGGGGGAAATGGCCCCATTAAACTTAACAAGCGATGATATGTCGTCTTCTAACACGGTGCCTTCCTGAGGTACTTTTCAAAGGGAATTTCGACTATACCCGAATCTTCAGTTCACACACTGTTTCATTAATTAAACGAGGCAGCCGTTAGGCCCATGTGGCTCTAATGACGTGGTAGTTATGTGAGCAAAAATATCTAAGCCTGTAAAGGCCTCAAGGTTGTAAAATCAAACCTGAGGGACAACCAATCACAAGCAGCCAACCAGGCTTTAAGCTACAGCTGATTAAATAATTTTTCTTTGCTTTTTTATTTTCTCTGTAGGAGTCTTTCCCCTGGTTCCGGCCGGCAGAGCACGCCTAACCACTTCCAATTTGCCCCTGCCAGATTCCGATCGATTTTTGCTCCAACTCGTAAAGTTTTTTTTCAATATGCCTCAGTTAGTTTATCTTTTAATAATACCTTGCCCAAGATACGACTGGCCTGAATCTCGTTCCCTCCGGGCCGCTCGCGTGCTCTCTCTCTTACTGTGGGCACTCTTGGCCCGGACAGGCTCGTCCGCCAGCATCCTCTATCAGTCTGGCGCAGACGCTGCAGGAGGGTCTGGGCGGCGGCCCCTGTGTACTAGGTTATCATACCACGCCTTCTTCCCTCCCGCCCCAGTGTTGCCAGCTCCGGTAAGAGGGGGCCCTAACCCCAACCCACAAGCCTTAAAATCTGTTTCACAGCCAGGAGGGATCTTCAGAGACCGGCCGTCTTTCTGCAGGGTTCCTTCTGAGAACGCTCTTTACTCCCCACCTCTGGGTCTGGCGGACTCACGGAACAGCTAGGAACAGAAACACAGAGAAGGCACACACCTGACTGGACAGAGAGAAACGAAGCTGGAGCTGGGGGAAAGAGCCGGACACACAAATGTGAACAAACAACTCCCCAAGCAGAAAATAAGGGTCCTTGGAGCGTGGAAGTTCTTGGCAGAGGGCAGAGGCAAGGCCAACGGCCACAGGGGTCTCCGCAGGACCACCACACACACGTTCCGCCCATGTTGTCCCAGATCCCAGGAGCCCCGACAAACAGCTGGGAGGTGAACTGGCCTCAGCCGTAAGTGAACAAGCTCAACTACCTGGCTGATCTGGAGCTGGAACCCTGACCCAGGGCCTGGGCGGGATTAGCCAAGCGCTGGGCTCAACAGCATGGAATCACAGGATGTGAGCATGGGAAAGAGCAGAGAGCATCTAGCCCTCGAACTTCACAGGTAAGAAAACAGAGGCCTTTGCGAGGAGGGTGATCACTCTGCCCCTAAGATTTCACAGCTCTATATACATGTATACACATACATAAATATGTGTAGGGACAAAAAATTACTTTGGAACACTATTTTTCCCATTCCTCTCAAATGCTTCCTAAGATATAAAACCCCAGATTTTAAGGCATTTATAACCTAGCTGAAAGGGCAAAACCTACACAACGAAACACAGCAACAAGAACTGCTCTGTTTACTGACAGATGTAAGCAAAATATGGACAGGCTGTGGGCAGGCAGAGCCAAAGCGTTCCTGGGATCAGGCGGCGCGAAGACTGGGAAGAGGTTATCTGTAAAGATAACCAGCTCCAACGGGAAGGCTATAAAGAGCAGCCCGGAGTTCCAAGGTTACCGCCGAGTCTTCTCCGACCACTTCCTCGCCTCCTCAGCCACAACCAAGGAGCCTGGCAAGCTACCTAAGGCAGGTGCTGGGCTTGCTATTTCCTGTTCACTGTACTCACTCGTTCACCTGTTCGTTCCACGAACCTTCAAGAGCCTTCTAGAATGAGTAAGGGTTGCCCGGCTCCCCGCCGAACTCCGGCCCTGAGGGAGCCAGACCGGGAAGCGGGTCTGAGACCAGAGAGCGCGGAGCGGAGGCGGCGGGAGGGCCCCCCCACCGCCCACCCCGGAATCCTGAGCGCGCTCCAGGGGAGGGCGCCAAAGCCCGCCTGCCAGGAGGGGGGTCGCCGAGGCGGCAAGCGAGGGGCGCGCCGTTGTGCAGAGGCTGGCAGGGGAAGAGCCAGACGACACGGACGGCTGGGAATCGGTGACGCCACAAGACGCACGTGGGGATGAGCCAGCCTGGTCTGCGGAGCCCGCGGCTCCGGGGTAAAGGGCCCGGGGCGCGCACCCGCAGAGCCCCCCGGAGCCCCTCGGAGCCCCGGGCTGCCGCGCCCGCAGGGGATGGGCGCTGACGGATTTCCTGTTGTTTCCAAAGCTGCGGGGATTTGTTCTATTCACGCGGACAGCCGGGCCTGGAGAGCAGGCCCGCCGCTTGCCCCGGCCGCGTGGTAGCATTTCTCCCTCCTTGGCAGCTCCGCCCTCCGCCAGTTCTTACCCGAGCGGCGAAGGCAAGCCTTTAGCAGGCGAGCGAGGAGGCGGCGTTTCGCTCGTCTGCCAGCTGGTTATAGAGGCTGTGGCAGCACAATTTCACATGTGCTAAAAATGCCAAGCCCTTTTTTTTTTTAATGTTTAACAAAATTTATTATGGTGCTATTTAGAATAAAAATGCCAAGCTCTTACAGAAGGAGCCCACACATTTTACTCACGGCAGCTATTGCAGAGGAAAGCCAACCATACGGAAGAATGGAAACAGCCAGGTTTGAGTGGGTGGGGAGGGGCAGAGAACACAGAAGAGAACTCAGCGCATAAGAGAAATGTGCCTCTGGAGAATAACGTTAAAAGTCACACTGCCTCCCGGGGCCGTGGGGGGAATCTGCCTGCACGTGTTTGCAGCACGTTCCTTCCTCCCAGGGCCCTGGACGGTTGGCACAGTGAGCCCACTCCAGAATCTGTCCTACCTTGGATGGAGGGAGGTTAAGGTGCTCTGCGGCCGTGGGCAGACCCCCTCTGGTCCCTGGCCTCAGGCCCCAGCCAGCCAGAGGAAGGAGAGCCAGCCGTCACCCAGGCTGCCCCTGCTCTGCCCGCACCTGGCTCCCTGGGACCACACGTCATAGGAAATTCAGGAAAACAATGACTGGGGGACGGGTGCAAGTAAGTTGGTAAAATCAGAATCCGAGAAAACCTAAGGAAGCCCCTTGATGGGAGAACACAGTAACTAACCCCAACCAAACTCAACAATTGGCAGGTACCCTAATTCTCAAGGTAAAAGCGGTCTTCTCTGGGTCAGGAAATAAGCAAACTCTTAACTCAGCTTGAACCCAGCCTGAATCAGAAGGTCACAGCCCAGGCGCCTGGGTGGCTCAGTTGGTTAAGCGACTGCCTTCGGCTCAGGTCATGATCCCGGAGTCCCGGGATCGAGTCCCGCATCGGGCTCCCTGCTCGGCGGGGAGTCTGCTTCTCCCTCTAACCCTTCCCCCTCTTGCGCTCTCTCTCTCACTCTCTCTCTCTCTAATAAATAAATTTAAAAAAAAAAATCTTAAAAAAAAAAAAAAAGAAGGTCACAGCCCATTAGCGGAGGCTATGTCTGGCAGGAACAAATGATCAAAGAGAGCTGTGTCCAAACGACGGCACCGTCCCTGATGCAACAACCCATCTAAGTCCTGTAGGACGGGCACTGGGCTAAGCCCTCAAACACAGCTGGCTCCTGAGGCAGCCGACTCGTATAGCTCCAAAAGGGATAGTCTGCACGCAGGCCACACCGAAATCCAGCTCTGGGCCAGTCCCGTCTGTCTCCGCTTGGTCCCCAGTGCCCTTTGATGCTGCCTCATGTAAGCAGCACACATTCTCTGGGCACTGCCAGGATCCCCGCTGCAACGCCTGGGCCTTGGGCAGCAGCTGCCAGGCTGCTCAGCTCATTTCCTCCTAAGAAGCAGTGACATCAATGCTGTCATTACTGACTCACCCGGTGTGTACGGAGGAATTCAAAACTACAGCAACAACGCGCATTCAAAGTGACACGGACCAGGGGACAGAAGTTATGGCCTTCAGAGGGAAATGGCGGAAATTAACAGAACAGGGTCTAAGAAGCCTATTCCCCTATCAGGAAGGCTGAGGATCTAAGTTTGATCCAAGATTGTATTAGACACCAAAAGGAACAGGAAAAAATTACTTCCCAGAGTGCTTTCCACGGAGCTAGGGAAAAATCACACCTCCACGATTTCAAAGCTGTAATGACATACAAACTGCCCTGGGATTCCAACATATTGGAAAGCCACATTTAAAATATAAAACTCCGGGCGCCTGGCTGGCTCAGTAGGAAGAGTGTGCAACTCTGGATCTTGGGGTCATGAGTTCAGGCCCCACGTTGGGTGTAGAGATTACTTAAATAAAT